CAGCGCTAACAAGTTCATAGCGGAGCTCAAGGCTGCTGGTGGAAAGTGGAGTTATAAGAAGCCCGTGAAATGGCACAGGTTATGCTGGTTATTGTGGCTTCCGGCGCGAGCTGGCGCTGTCCTCAGATGTGATAATTTAGATATTAAATTGGATGGCGTGATGTTATTGTGATCAATGTAGTTAGATAAGACCAATGAGATGGGATGGGATTTTGATTAGATGGGACCACGTAGGATGAACAAGCAGTGCACCGGAATAAGGTAAATGTGCACGATACTGAAACTCTCATTCGTAGCATTAAGTGCACATCCAAGCTGATGAGACTTACTGAATCATGCAAGGGGCATTACGCCAAATCGCAGTAAAGCCCAAGACCTTAATATCCGCACATTCACGTAGACCATGGCTGCAGGCTGCAAGACGCTGGTCTAGAGATCCTCAGGGGTGGTCCAGGACCGTGGTCACGGCCGACCAGACCACCCGAGCGCACGAGGAGCCCGCGCAGCCGGAGGAGCGCCCAAGGACGCGCGTGCCAGCCGCACGGCCGGCGGCGAGGGCTGTCGCGCAGAGCGAGAGGCTCGAGACGCGCGCCTCCCGCTCTGCACCACAGGACTCCCGGCCCAGACGAAGGGGAATTCGCGCGCGAGGGTTTGCGTCGGGTGTCGGCCGGTCAGGCTGAAGTGCGGCGACGGTTTCGTTGAGCTGTCGGACACCGGTAGATCGCGCTGCGCGGCACATGCGTCATGCACCAGTTGGAAGGTGTTTCTAGGTCACACGCCGGTTATGGCGTGTGGCCAGGTTTGGAAGTTGATTTGCCATGTCACTTGGCTGATGACGAATGGTCGACGTCGCAGGAACGTGTACAGAACCTTGGGTGTGGTAATGCAGTCTCATTTGGTAACGCTCCGGGTGTTCGCTTCGTTCCGACAAAGTGTGAGTTTCGGGATAGTTTGTGGCGGGGTAGAAAACCACCTTCAAGTACAGTTCGTTGGTATCTCATTGATTAGGTGTACCCCATTTTAATGCAGTTGGTTTGTTTTTTCATTACCTACTCTTCAACTATGTGACATTCTACCACCTGCTCTGTATATATATGTCCCCCTCCACCTCCTTCTCCCGTACATGAGGGACCTAATCTCTTTCGTTGGACTCATCCCACAGACCTTGCGTATCCTAGCGGCCTGCCTCATCTCCGACGTATTTCTTCTTCGCTCGCACTTACCCGCAATCAATCCCTTTTAATCAGAAAACGCCGCACCTAACTCTAGTTACGGATACAAAATGTCTCCGACATCGGGGCACCCTAAACTCCAATCGTCATCACACCGGTGAGGCGGCGGTCCTCCGCGCGCTGCGGGCCCGCGCCGCAGCTCGCGGTACCCAGCGGCGACCGGAGGCGGCGGCCTGCCGCCAGCGCCGGCCGCCGACCACAGCCGGCAGCCCGTCTCGCCAGCCTCTCGCGGGCTGCCGGACGGCGCCGGCGGCCGCAAGGGTCCCGGCGTGCTCGGCGGCAGTGTGCGGCGGCACGCCGGCCGGCCCGCCCCGCGTGACCGCCGGCCGCAGCCGCGGCGGGGCGGCGGCCGCCTGCTTCCGGCGCCAGTCGCGCGAGGCGCATGGCTCCGGCGCCCCGGCGCCTTGAAGGGCGTCGGCTCGTTTGCGACGGCGGCGTTTGTCGCGCCGCCTGACCTGGCTGTGGGTGCAGTCTGGTGGTACAGTCTGATAGTAAAGTCTGCTGGTGCAGTGTGGCGGTTTGGTCTGGGTGTAGTCTACCGATGCAGTCAGCCAATGCAGTCTGCTGGTTGAGTCTGGCGGTGGAGTCTGGCGGTGCAGTCTGGCGGTACAGTCTGCCGGCGCAGTCTGGCGGCAGTCTGCTGGTTTAGTCTGCCGGTTGAGTCTACTGTTGCAGTCTGGCCGGTGAAGTCTGCCGGTGCAATCTGCCGGTCCAGTCTCCCGGCGCAGTCTACCGGTTGAGTCTGCCGGCGCAGTGGAGGTTGTGCCTGAGCTGCTGCGCTCCGTACGCGGTGTCACGATAATGCCGCACACAGCGCGTGCTTGGGAGGCCTGGTGCCGCTGCCTTCAACCGCTGGCTGTTGTCGTGTGGCTGGTGGTGCTCTGGTCTCTGGGGCCTTTTCACCCATGGGTGCCTTGGGTCCTTGGGCGTTGCGGCTCTGTGGAGGTCAAAGAGCGTGGTTTTCTGACCCCGTCTTCCTCTGGCTATCAACATGACACCACAGGACGGACCTTTGCGCCTCAACAGCGGCGCTAGCTGACTTGTTGCCTGTGAGATGTGGGGCGTTCCTGTATCGGCCTCGTGCATTGGCTCGGCTCCCCAACTACTGCTACCTTATCCTCAATGGCATTATTACGGGGGTACAAGGCGATTACCTGGACAATACAGCGGGATGTTTTGAGTCGTGCTCAGAGGAAAGCCCAGCCAGTCCTCCACAAGTTGGGAGGGAGAGATGTACCGCCGTTTCGCTCCTGATACGTGCAAGAGCCTGGCTGGCTGAGATGTATTCGAAGCGCGCCTCCAATTCTGAATTATTGCGTTGTTTTTTCGCTGATTCGCCAGGTAACACGTGCTAACCGGTCTGTGACTCATTACGAGGAATGCGTTCGATGCGGCGACTGCCAATCACGACCTTGGTCAAGGGCACGCGTACTCGCACGCGGATGGTGATATCGCCCGCCCCTTCGGTCTCGAGACGCTGCAAGCCTTGTTGCTATCCAAAACCGTGAAGTCCACATGAATGCTGGAGGTTTGTCACTGGTAGACGTGAATTTGTGATTGCTTTATAGCAGCAGCATGCGCGTGAATATCTTCAAGAAAATCGTTACGTGGATGGTTTATACTTCATCATTGCAGTTTAGGTGCAAGCCACCTTGGCTTTTTGGAGGCATCTCCTGAGCGGTTACGGGCATCATAACTGCATTTCGCTGGCCGAATTTACACCCGTTTGACACCTGGCTGCACGCTCCGAGCTGCTGTTCTGCCAAGTCGCTGGCCTTTTACCTCGTTCTCGGAGCGGTGCGTGGCAAAAAAAGGTTGGAAAAGAGTGGTATCGCATCGCATTCTTAGCTGTATGTGCAGGATGCTCTTGTCCAGTTGGTTCTTGTTTGGTGTAAGGGTGTTATGTCATCAGCGCCATCAATGCTGGTGGATTGACATTCGACGTCAAATATACATCAAGTTCAGTTGGTCATTTTACGTTGAACTTGACCTTAGATCTGCAATCAGGGGTTCGAAGCTCCTGCGGTGTGTAGGTTGTAGTGTAGTGGTCATTAAGACCAAATCCACATCAAGTTCACACTTTCAAAACCGCCCTAAAGCATTGGGGCACCGAAAGCTTTTTTTCACGGTTGTGCCCACTAGAGTACCATCGTCTATCTAGATGGCGCGTGCGGGTACAAGCAAGGCCAAGGTCGTATGAGGTTTCCGAAATTGACCGCGTCGCCTACCATAACTCGTGGAGATAAATTATAGGATGCTGTGACCTGTTTAAACGTTACTTTGCAAGAATATGCGAGCCCACTTAAAGGCGGCAAAAGCCCAGTTCGACTTTTTTCTTTCAACGTTTCAAGCGAACCGTCCTATATTATACAATGAAAAAACGGCTTGGCAAGACCTGTAGATCTCCACGAGATTACCTCCCCGCTTGTTTGTATTCTGATTCCAGCGCATCGGGTGTGGAATCATCCCGAGAGGTGGCGCCGCCTGCGTAGTGGAGCGAGGCGAGACCGGCGAGGCTTTGTGAGCCCGCTCCGGAGCCGTTTAGCACATGATTCATGCCGCCGCGGCCCCCGCACCGTCCTCGGACAAGAAAACTGTTCAGGCTTGAAAAGTTCTTGACCTTGGCGAACTCGGCAGGCTGTCGGGTGACAATACGACTGTTTGGTGGTCAGAACTCCCCCCCCCCCCCCGCCTCCGCCCCTCCTGCCTCCTTTCCTCCCCTCGCCATCAGTCGGGCGCGGTTCCGTCCGGCGGCGAGCCGGACAGCGGGTGCGAGCACGGCACGACGGTGGTTGGGAGTCAGAGGCGGCACGCGCGTATCGCGCACGGCCGGACTGGGCTATGCATTGACTTATTCAGATTGTCGCGGACTTATTATGTATTGACCTATTCAGATAATCGCAGACTGATTATGCATTAACTTACCCAGATAATCGCGGGCTGATTATGTATTGACTTACTCAGATTATCGCGGACGGGGTGCGGCGCCAGCAGCAGGCAAACGCACTTCATACAGCATGTCCTTAACCATCGTGCGTAGACGCTGTCGGCTGGCACTGTCCGCAGACCGAGCCGATCGACCGAGCCCGGCCAGCGTGCGGTGCTCGGGTCGTGGGTGCCGAGGAGGGCCCCGGCGGCGGCGGCGGCGGCGGCGGCGGTGGCGTGCGCCGCCCCGTGCCGCCGTGCCGGCTGCGTGACCGTTTAGCGGACAATGGCCAGGTGTCGCGGCGCGTTGTCACGGGACTCGGCGCCGCGTCTCGGGATCGCGCCGGCCGGACCGGCGGCGACGGAGCGGGCGAGGCGGGCGGGGTGCGGAGGCGCGGCGGCGGGGCGGGGGTGGTGGCTTACAGAGCGTCCTCAGTGGGAAAGGCAGGAGGACTGGTGTTCTGGCGGCGGTTGCGGGGTTTAGCTGTGGGATGCTGTCGTCGGTGTGGTCACGGCCAGTGTTTTGCGGAGGGCTTTTGTTTACGTCGTCTTTGTGTCAGCGTGAACATCATAATGAGCCGCCCTTGATGGCGGCAAAACTCGAAGGGAAAATGTACACAATTGACAGATTCTCAAAGATCATCGCGTGGCAAACTTTCAACGAAGAACGACGGTCTAATTGTAGGACCGTTTTAAGCAAACTACCGTCCTGTAATACAACTTAAAAGGCGTGAAAGGATCAACTTGTCGGGCGTTGCCTGATGTCTGATGTATCCAATGCCGCGCGACGGGGCATCGCCCTGGCGGGAGTCGCTCACCCTCACCCTGCTCGCCTTCCCACAGGCCGGCGGCTGCTGCCACACCTTCATCGACAAGGGCTACGAGTTCGACGTAGGCATCCACTACATCGGCAACCTGAACTCGCAGACGTCGGCCAAGACGCTGATTGACCCAGCTGACCCACGGACAGCTGCAGTGGGCGGCGCTAGGTAAGGAAAGACACCTGCCCACCTCAGCACCTCCGGCAGTGGGCGTCGCTAGGTACGGGAGGGCACCTGCCCACCTCAGCACCTCCGGCAGTGGGCGCCGCTAGGTACAGAAGGGCACCTGCCCACTTAAGCACCTCCGGCAGTGGGCGCCGCTAGGTACGGTAGGGCGCATGCCCACTTCCGCGCCTCCTGCAGTGGGCGCCGCTAGGTACAGGAGGGCACCTGCCCACTTCAGTACCTCCAGCAGTGGGCGCCGCCAGGTACGGGAGGGCACCTACCCACTTCAGCACCTTCGGCAGCGGTCTCAGGCGCCGAGAAACGCTATCAGCATGTGTCAGCGGAGCGGTGCTGTGACGTGCTAGGACCAGTCATTGGTCGTGTTCTGTTTTATTTCGTTCCTCGCTGTCGATATGAAAGATGTGCAATAAGTGCGTTTTAACGTGTCCTTGTGCAGGCAGTGTGCCACGGTGGTTGGGTTCTGCATGATCTTGGGGGCTTGATTCACGCCCGTAGAGTCATTTGTCCTCATCATCATTAATGCTGGTGTTTTGCTGCCACCAGTCAAACGCCCACTCTTGTTCCATGGAGTGCATTTTTGTACATTTTACGTTTGTTGTGTTTGGCGCGCGTTGTTTTGTTGTACACAGCGGTGTGTGGCCAGCCATATGATGTGCTTCGCGGCGTGTAAAGAGAAGCTGTCCCCGTCCTATCGCAGTGTCCGTCCCAATGCGATACGGCGTGCACGTAAGCCCTCTGACTGCTTCTTGGGATCGTCATAGCCTCCCTTCGATCTCTCTCCCCGCTCGTTCGTCCATTCATCTCAGTCAGTGTCTGCCTTCATGTCATCGCCTTATTTTTCCCCGTTCACTCGCACATGTGTCCGTCCGTCCTTGCGTCCGTCTGTCCATGTCTTTGGTTATGTTCGTGCCTGGGTGGGTTCCGGCCCGCTGCGTCCGCCCGTTCATCCGCGTCACGCGCGCGCCCGCGAGTCCTGACGGCGCCGCGTCCGCCGCCGCCAGACGACGAGTTCGACACGGCCGTGTTCGGCGACAAGCGCTACTCGCTGGTGTCGGGCAGGCGGCGCTGGCTGGAGCACGTCAAGAAGCAGTTCCCCGACGACACGGACGCCGTGGATCGGTGAGGGCCCGCGCGCCGCCGCGCCGGGGCGTCCACAGCCGCTGCTGGGGCCACAGCGCCCCCGTGCCGGTCTCCCGTCCTTCGGGACCGGCTGGTCGGCAGGAGGCGGAGAATGCGCGCTGTTGCGCGCTTTCGACGCTGGGTCTCGGGTGGCGTACGGCCTCGTCCAGCGAAGCCGTGTGTGCCGTCGTGGCGGCCCTTATGAAGGCGGCGGAAAGTTGAGACGGTCACGGCTTTACCGTTTTCGCGTTGTGAAGGCATCGCGACAAGCCGCTCTTTGTCGGTCGGAACGCCGCAGGCGTGCTGAACTCGGACCCCCGCCGTTCCATCCAACATTGCCCAGGTGTGGCAAACCTCCGACGATCTGCCAAAGGAGATCGTGCTTGATTGCCTCCCAAAGCTCCTGGGACAAGGGACAGGCAATGGGATAGGCTGTCGCAAGGCTCCTGCCTGTCCGTCAAACTCTGTCAGAACCACGCCCGTCCCGAGCTCTCGACCCCCCTCCCCCCCCCCCACACACACGCACGCACGCACGCACGCACGCCGCACGCACGCACGCACGCACGCACGCACGCACGCACGCACGCACGCACGCACGCACGCACGGCACGCACACACACACACACACACCACACACACACACACACACACACACACACGTGAAAAGTACACTGAGCGCCGCCTCCCTTGAGCGCTGTTTAAGGTCATTGCTGCGCGAATATTCGACGTATCTAAATGACTTGGCACCCCTGAAAGACATCGGAGCCACTGAAAGTGCTGTCGTCCGGAAGGAATTTACAACCGAACTAGTGAAGCCCGCACATGTCAATCCAAAGTCGGCCACCTCAGCCACTGGGCCATCCACTCGCGCAGGCTGTTCGAGGCGGTGGTGAAGTGCAAGAAAGGCGCCATGGGCATGGTGCTGGTGAAGATGCTGCCGGTGTGGCTGAGCCAGCTGCTGCTGCAGACCGGCCTCTTCAACCTCGTCTCAGACGTGTTCAAGTGGAAACAAGCGCTCCGTGCAGGAGGTGGTCACGGTAAGCCTGCGGCGGATGCCGCAGTGGTGGCGCCGGTGGACGCCGCAGTGGTGGCGCCGGTGGACGCCGCAGAGGTGGCCCCGGGAGGACGCCTCCGCCTCCTGGCGGACGCCTCGCGAACTGTGTCTCGTCAGGTGAACGTTTTACGCAGGCTCAGAAGCGTCAATGCGAACATACCCAAATGTTTTTTTCTTCACTGATTGCTAAAAGTTCCGCCGGCTCGTGCAGCGCACATCAGCGCTATCAATGGTCCCATAGCATTGGAAAATGAGACGGATCCGATGTTTCCCCGAACTCATTGTTTATGCCGTACCCCAACCCGACCCCACTGACTGTTGATGTTGAGGTGCGGATGGTCACCGCCAGGCCGAGACGAACAACAAGGATCTGCAGGCCCTGTTCATGTACTGCTTCCGGCGACTACGGCACCAGCCCCGACCAGGCCGGTTTCCCTATGCAGGCCACGCTGCTGGCCCACTTCTGGCACGGTGAGACGACGGTGGCGCCGACGGCTAGGCACGAGTTTGTATCGCGCCCGCAGGGGCGCTGCCATGGGACGGGGTGCTATTTTCTGCACGTTGTTGTGGTTTATGTGACTGGCCATGTTGATGGTCGTTTGATTGTTTTTTTTGTGAGGGTAGCGTTACGAATTGTGCTGATACCATGGGAGCACATAGTATTCAACTAAGAAGTTGGTCGATTCAGGCAGTTTCAGCCGCTGATGTGGCGTTCTGCTGTCTTCTGCGGGTGCGTTCGGCGTATAGATCACACCGACCTAGCACATGCTATCCATCGGCGGACCGCTCTGGGGATCGACGGGATCTGAGGCCGGACGCTCCGCCGTCGCGCTCTGACCGCACGACCTGTCGATGACCCGGCCTGACCCTGTTGATGACCCGGTGATCCTGTCGGATGACCCGGCTTGACCCGAGGACGTTGTCGATGACCCAGCCTGTCCCGGTGACCCTGTCGATGGCCCTGTGACCCCTGTCGATGGCCCTGTGACCCTGTCGACGGCCTGGTTACCATGTAGATGACCCGACCTGACCCGGTGACTCTGTCGATGTCCCGACATGTCCCGGTAACCGACCCGTTCTACGGATTGACCTGGTCTGACCCGGTGACCATGTCGTTGACCCGGCCTGACCCGGTGCCCCCGCAGGCGGCTCGTACCCGGTGGGCGGCGCCTCGGAGATCGCCTTCCACATGATCCCCGTCATCGAGGAGGCCGGCGGCCGGGTGCTGGTGAGAGCCGAGGTGAGCGTTTGTTTGTGTGAGAAGAGTGCCACGTCGTCGCATGGCGACGGTCAGCAGCCGAGGCGGGCACCGCCGCTAGAAGAGTGATGCACGCCCGGTTGATTCGGTCAGTTCGGGATGTGGTGGCCGTTGGTCGGCCGTGGGTGGAGAGGACGGCCCGTGCGCTGGCTACCGGCCGTCAGTGGGACTGTCAGCAGGTGAAGGAGGTCTCTCAGTGGGTTAGTGGGTCTCTGATGTCATTTCAGTAAGTCGCTCAGTGGGCCAGCCAGCAGGTCTCTCAGTGGAACAGCCAGCAGGTCTCAGTGGAACAGCCAGCAGGTCTCTCAGTAGGACAACCAGCTAGTCTCTCAGTTGAGCAGCCAGCAGGTCTCCGAGTGGGGCAGCCAGCAGGTCTCTCAGTGAGCCAACCAGCAGGTCTGTCAGTTGAGCAGCCAACAGGCCTCCCAGTGTGGCAGCCAGCAGTTCTCGAGCAGCGGTACGTCACTGTCCGCACCGGCCGCCAGGTGAAGGAGCTGCTGATGGACGAGCTCCGCAGCACAGTGGTCGGCGTCAAGGTCGCCAAGGGCAGCTCGACCCACGAGATACGCGCGCCGATGGTCATCTCAAACGCAGGTGGGCTCCGCTGCGAGGGCGACGGCTCAAACGCGAGGGCTCCGCAGGTGGGCTCCGCTGCGAGGGCGAGGGCTCAAACGCGAGGGCTCCGCGGGTGGGCTCCGCTGACAATACAGAGCTCGTGCGTTTGTTGTGTGCGAGAGGGGGATGAGCTGGGAGAGTGGGTGGAGGGAGCGGTGGAGGCGGCGTCTGTTGGCGTGTGAGGAGGTGGTTCAGAATGGGATGAGAACAATGAGGCGAATGCTTATCGGTGTGTGAACGGGCATTTGAGAATGGGGTCGAAAGGATGGTGAAGGAGGATGTTGATTGAATTGAATTGATTGGTGAGGTGAAGAATTGAATTGATTGGTGAGGTGTAAGTTGAAACAGTAGACGGGCGGCAATAGACCCGCAGCGGAAAGAAAAGTGCGATGAGAACAAAATATGCAAAGGGAGACTAGGGAGCGACGCAACCGTGTGTGTGTGTGTATGTGGCGCGGGCGGTGGATGGTCACCACGCGGGGGGGGGGGGCGGTCAGACGGGTCCTCAGTGACCGTGACTGTGACTGTGACTGACTATGACTATGACTGTGACTGTGACTGTGACTGACTATGAATGTGACTGTGACTGTGACTATGACTGTGACTGTGACTGTGACTGTGACTGTGACTATGACTGTGGCTGTGACTGTGACTGTGACCTGACCGTGACCTTGGCCTGATCGTGACCGTGACCGTGACCTGATCGTGACCGTGACCGTGGCCTGATCGTGACCGCGACAGTGACCGTGACGGCCCGTGGTGACCCCGCCGGCTGCCGGCAGGGTTGTACAATACGATGCAACGGCTGTTGCCGCGGCCGGTGGCCGAGACGTCGCGCCTGTGGCCGCTGACCAAGATGTCGCACGCCACGGCCGGCTTCTCCGTGTTCGTCGGCCCCTCAACGCGCCGCTGGAGGAGATCCGCGGCAGCGGCGACAGCACCATCTCCCCCCGCAACTGGTGGGTCTTCACCAACAACGACATCACCAAGGTGAGGGCACGGACGGGAGGGGGGGGGGAGTTGAATCTCGAAGCGTTGTGACCCCGGAACGCTAACATGTCCACCTTTGTGTGCCATTTTTTTAAACCACTAAAATAAGCAGCAGCGGCGGATGATGAAGTCCTGGAGCTCCCGCCTGGTGTCCGCTGCCCGTTAGCCCCCACCTCGGCCGCCCTACGCCGCACCCCATCACACCTCGCATCCTGTGGCATCGCGCGGCCTGAGGCGCCGCGCCACACACCTCCCCGGGGCCGGGCTGGACAGGGGCGGCAAGCCGGAGGACGCGGTGTCGGTCAGACGGCGCCGACGCTGCCGCCGCCCTCTCTGGACGTGGCGCGCTGTCTGGGTGCTGTGTGGGTGCTGTCGGGCGCACGACGACAGCGATTGTGAGCGCGCGGGTGCCCTGCTTCAGGTGTGCAACGACTACATGGCGTTGTCGGCTGACGAGGCGTTGGACCGGGACGTGCCGCTCATGTTCATCTCCTTCCCGTCCACCAAGGACCCCGAGTGGGAGAAGAAACGCTACCCGGGTACGTGGCGCGCCCCTTCCGCCGCCGGGAGCGGGGCTCGGCGGCGACTGGTATCGCTCGCGAGGGGTTTGAGCGGAGACCTCGCCATCCTGGTACGCTGCGCGCCTCTATTGTCGTGAATGGGTGGGCATCGACACCCATGGATGACTAGCTTACTGCTCGCCTTCCTAAGCCTTGCTTTTTCACTCGCTTTAAAGCAGTGAATATGTTTGACTCAAGTGATGGGCAGTCCTGTGTCTCCCACCTGTGACGCGGCCTGTGATAACTGTGGGTAACGAAGTTAAGGAGCAATTTGTGTGTCCGGCGTCGTCTCACGTGACCTTTCTTGTGGAGGTGTTTGGGGTCAGCGTGTTAGCGGGACCGGACATCATCAGAGCCCAGCCGCGTCGGGCACATGAGCGATGGCCGGACCGGCGTGCTGGTCGCCGTGCTGGCCGCCGTGCTGGCCGCCGTGCTGGTTGCCGTGCTGGCCGCCGTGCTGGTCGCCGTGCTGACCGCCCGCGTTGACTGCCGTGCTGACCGCCGTGCTGGCCGTCGTGCTGGTCGCCGTGCTGACCGTCGTGCTGGTCGCCGTGCTGGCCGCCATGCTGACCGCCGTGCTGGCCGCCGTGCTGACCGCCGTGCTGACTGCCGTGCTGACCGTCGTGCTGGCCGCCGTGCTGACCGCCGTGCTGACCGCCGTGCTGGCCGCCGTGCTGACCGTCGTGCTGACCGCCGTGCTGACCGTCGTGTTGACCGCCGTGCTGACCGTCGTGCTGACCGCCGACCTGGCCCGCCTTCAGGTAAGACCACGATGGCTATTGTGACGCTGGCCAACTACGACTGGTTCAAGCAGTGGGAGAACGAGCGGTGCACCAAACGCGGCGCCGACTACGAGGGCGTCAAGAACACGATCGGCGACAAGCTGGTGGCGCAGGCCACTCGGCTCTTCCCCCAGATCAGGGTGAGAATGCGAGCCCTCTTGTGATAGAGCTGTCGGTATGGTGTCTTCTGTTCCGTCAGATCAGGGTGAGAACGCGAGCCCTCTTGCGATAGAGCTATCGGTATAGTGCCGTCTGTTCCCTCAGATCAGGGTGAGAACGCGAGCCCTTTTGCGATAGAGCTGTCGGTATAGTGCCGTCTGTTCCCCCAGATCAGGGTGAGAACGCGAGCCCTCTTGCGATAGAGCTGTCGGTATAGTGCCGTCTGTTCCCTCAGATCAGGGTGAGAACGCGAGCCCTCTTGCGATAGAGCTGTCGGTATAGTGCCGTCTGTTCCCCCAGATCAGGGTGAGAACGCGAGCCCTCCTTGCGATAGAGCTATCGGTATAGTGCCGTCTGTTCCCCCAGATCAGGGTGAGAACGCGAGCCCTCTTGCGATAGAGCTGTCGGTATAGTGCCGTCTGTTCCCCCAGATCAGGGTGAGAACGCGAGCCCTTTTGCGATAGAGCTGTCGGTATAGTGCCGTCTGTTCCCCAGATCAGGGTGAGAATGCGAGCCCTCTTGCGATAGAGCTATCGGTATAGTGCCGTCTGTTCCCCAGATCAGGGTGAGAACGCGAGCCCTCTTGCGATAGAGCTGTCGGTATAGTGCCGTCTGTTCCCTCAGATCAGGGTGAGAGAGCCAGCCAGTCCTGTCTAGTGATAGAGCTATTGGTATGGTGCTACAGTTGGATTGCTTGGACGCAGTCCGGTTGGACTGGCTTGGTGTGGATTAACATAGAACATCGCCTCAACTACGTGGTGACAGTATGCATAATCAAGCATTTGATTCGATTACCTGCACTTTGGATCGTTGCCATCGAAGGTTTGCGACGTTTGCGCACACGGAGGACGCCTCGTCGCCCCTCCGCACCCCATCCCACCCCTCTGTTCCGCCTAACGCGTCCGGGTCGGGCCGCAGGACCATATCGACTACGTGAGCTTCGGGAGCCCGGTGACGAACAACTTCTACCTGGGGGCGCCGCGGGGCGAGATGTACGGCATGGACCACAACCAGGAGCGCTTCAGCGGCGAGAGTCAGACCCTGCTGCGTCCCGCCACCGACGTGCCAGGTCAGATGGGGCCGGGTCAGGTCAGACGGGGGACGACACAGGTCAGATGGGAGACGCCGCAGGTCAGATGGGAGACGACACAGGTCAGATGGGGACGTGCCAGGTCAGATGGGGCCGGGTCAGGTCAGACGGGGGACGACACAGGTCAGATGGGGAACGAGGCAGGTCAGATGGGGAATGAAACGTCAGACGAGGGACGAGGCAGGTCGCATGGGGGAGGGGTCAGGTCGGATGGGGGCGGGTCAGGTCAAACGGGGACGACACAGGGTAGCTTTAGAAGAGATCAGATTGGATTGGGGACGAAACAAGGTCAAATGGGGGAGGGGTCAGGCCAGATGAGGACGGACGGGTCATATCGGGGACGATGCAGTTCAGATGGGGGATGGACAGGTCAGATAGGCGACGGGTCAGATTAGATCGGACCGGTCAGGTTAGGGGAGACGGGCCAGCTCCAACGAAGGCGGGCCGGGACAGTCAGATGGTGCGGAGCAGGTCAGGCCAGGCAAGGGGTGGGGTAGGCCAAACGTCTCACTTTGCGCGGCAATCCCGCTGCACTGTGTAATTCTGAGGATTTCACCCACGCCACAAGTGCCTGCTGTACCCATTTTCATTTCATCTCCTAACTGATGAGCTAAAACCCTGGGGAAGACGGGCAAGGTCAGCCCAATGCGCAAGAACACATGACATGTGCAGGAGCGGAGACATGTGGCTGACAATGACGACAGCGGGACACGGCTCAGTCCCCGTTCTAACCGATGACGCCACCCGCCGCCGGTCACGCGTTCCTCGGCAACAGCGACCACATCGATGGCGTTCTGAATGCAGCCCCAGTGTCGTTCAGCTGCTTGAAACAGACCAAAGCCGCTACCAGCAGTGTGGGTCATGAAGACGTTTGTTGAGTAGGTGAATGCGCGAGGTTCAATGTTCCTTTGAACCTGGCCCTGTGGGCATACAGTTGATATTTGGTAGAGCACGTATCCGCACCGAAACAGTCAAACGAAATAGCCTATGAAATATGTTCGACGGATCATGGCGTTAAGCAACAGATTTGCAACGTTTGCGATCGGTGTATTGGAGATGCTGGGATTAGAGAGCAGAGACGAACTCGCAGCGATCGCGCTCTAGGTTCCTTAAATGTGTGACGCCTGCTATGTGATGTTTATCTGAGGTTTTCGAGCACCGTGAGGATAGCTTTGTGGGGAAGTGCCTCCGGGCAACAAAACAAAAAAAAAAACGTCATGGCCGGAGGGGTTTGATTGTAGTGGCGTTGATCGAAAAATTCTTTGACAGCGTAATTTTTGCGCGCATGTGGCAAGCTGGATGTCACAAGTTGTGTCCTCTTCCGGAACGTCCAATCGGCGCAAGCACGACTATAAATATTGTGTGGGCAGTAGGTGTGGTGGCTGAAGGCCGGTTGCTGCGGACTACCGTCTCGAATGAGAAGTGTGCTGGTCCCATGGGTCATGATCGCTGCCTTCACGATGACGCGGGCTCCGAAATGAATTCGCTCAAGGGAGTCGCGAACAGAAAATTCCTCTGGTCCTCGCCGGTGTTCCTCCGGTACAAGCGCGCGCACGCTTATTCAGCACTGCTTCCTCGTTGCGATGACGCTACTTACCTTTTCCACGGCGATATTCACGCAAGACGCTGCGCCACGAACGACACGTGATCCCTTCAGGATGTTTGCCCAGCGCCGTCCGAAGGAAGATCTCGCGCGGCCTAGACTGAGGTAGAAGGATACCGCATTCTGCATGATTGCGTGGTGATCGTGGCACCTAACCTAGGGCAGATTGGCCCAAATAAGCCACCGAAACTTCCCGTCCGGTCCAGAGAACAGAGCGTAAAGGTGCCGCGAATCAAACCCCGATTGAACAGAGGCGGCAGCTAAGTTCGAAACGGACATGAATGCCAAGACGTTGAAAAAACCGTGCGTCTGTCAATAATTCAGAAGTACTGAAGTCAGGACAGGAAGGGGCGGTGCCGGGGTGCTCGCGCGCTAGCTTGTAACTGGCCAAGCAGGGAAAAAGCGCGCGAAAGAGATCGGTGACGTATGCAGACAAGTCAGTCGATTCATGCTGGGAGTTTTGTGCAGTCAGTAGGATGTACGGATGCGATTCGGTCGAGCTGGCGTAGGATGTAGCAGACGGCCGGGCAGAGCAGTCACAAGCGTGTAGCGCGCCCCGTTGGCTGTTCGGGCCTGGTGATGTGCTACAGTGGCTTTGATAAGAGGGCAGGCTGCATGCCTCACGGGGTCAGGTGAATAAGCGGACGTTACAGCGCAAGTTTTGTGACTTACAAACCGGCCGAAGTGGTTTATTTTGCAATAAACACGTGATTTGCAGCCCCGGGTGAAAAATACTAGGTGACACCAACCTAGAAGCTGGACCAGCGAGGAACTCTGCCCCATAAACGTATGGACGCGTAGCCCAGCACCAGACGACAACCTCCACTCCGTGCTCATCGGTTATGCTTACTCGTCAGCCATCCATTTGTGTTAGCTGAGTCCTTGGGAAGGCAGAAGCCTCGCGCTAACAGCGGCCGTGATTTGATCGAGATGACCCGAGGTGATCGGCTATTGACGAACGTAGATGCAGTCCTCCAAACCGTACAGTCGAGACGGAGCGAGCAAACGACGAGGCCACGCTCTTATCGAGGCGGCGACAAGCCGGCGAAATGCTGACTCGCCCTGCTTGTCACTAGGTGGACCACATGCATTATCAATATGAACATTTTGACGGTAGTGTTAAGGAGATAGTAATAAAATTCACACAAAAAAGAGTTTGGCAAGGTAGGTGATACCAACCTGTGGATATACGTTTTAACGGAAGAGGAATGCTCCTATTAAGTGTGAACTCTCGCCATGGCAAACTCTTATCATTTCTAGCTAAGATAGAATCAGTTCCAGTTTTGTCCACTGCTTCAACAAACCAGCTATCAGTGACAATTATTGCTTCATGCACTAAAACGAATTGTGTTCTGCAGATTATATGCGTTTCATTCGTAAACACGTAGAATCTAGTGGCCAATGTCCGAACACGCTTCTTTGCATTTCGGCTGTTTGAACTTTGCCCGCTCTTTCTGTGCGGAAGCGTAAGGCCCAGATCACGTGCTCGATCAAAAAAGATTCTTGTCTTCAGAGCGGATGCGTTATTGATAACGATCGACACGAATTTAAATGAACTATACAGTTTATCATAAAAAGTGCACTAATAACGGATTGACTTGTTGCGCACATTTGTGTCAGATTATCTTTTCGCCGCGCATATCGCCGATCAGGGACGGCCGAAGCACCTGATGTTCACCGCTCGGACGTCCTGAGTTTGATCGATAGCGGACTTCGACGCGCTCAGCTACGAGTGCGCCCCCGCCGTTTCCCGCCACTAGTGTTTGCCGTGAAACCGACGATCGGGCCCGAATGTCGGCGCAGCAGGCGCAGAAGTACGCCGCCGGGGGCAAGGAGCCGCCGCTGGACCGCTTCGCGGACGCGCCTCCGCAGTGGAAAAAGCTGGAGGAGATCCTGGCCATGCGCAGCTCTGCCGGCGAGCCGATGCCGTCGGGGTTGCCGCACCGGCCGCAGCCGGTGGCCGCGCACTACAGCAGCGTGCCGGCCCGTCAGCCGACGCCCGTCGGCCGGGGCGGCGGCGCCGGCGTCTACACGGCCAAGCCGTTCCAGCAGGCGGCGCCGGCCTCGCCGGCGGACGGCGCCGGCTTCAGCGTGGTGGGCAGCGGCGTGCCGCGGGCGACCGGCCCGCGCCTGCCGGTGGCGCCGCCCCAGCCGTACTGCTTTGCTTCGCCGCCGCGGTGGACGTCTGGTGGTCACGGGCCGGGCGCTCGGCACGCGACTCCGCCCCAGCCGCCGCCTCAGCCGCCGCCTCAGCTGCCGCCTCAGCCGCCGCCCACAGCTGCCTCAGCTGCCCCAGCTGCCCCAGTCACAGCCGCAGAGGCGCGGCCAGCGCTCCTCCAGCACGCACCTGATCGAGAGCATTTCTCAGCTAGTGCACCAGACGCACGACCGGCAGGGGGAGGGCGGCGTCCCCGGTGGCGGCGGCGGCGGCGGCGGTCGTGGGAACGGTCCCCCGGGCTGGCACGGCGGGGAGGCGGAGCGGCACACCTCGGGCAGGGCGTCCACCCGCAGCGGAGGCCAGAGCGGCGGGGCGGCCTGCTGGCGGCGCGATGAGGCGCGGCGACAGAGCTCGGACGGCGCTCGCGTCGGCGGCCGGGACGTCGCGGCCGGCTGGCCGGATTGCCCGGATGGGCGGCCGGCCGCCGCGCCGGAGAAGCCGGCCAGGAACCTGACCTCCGCCGACCAGGACGACTTGCGCCGGCTGCACGAGCTCATGGAGATCACGCGAGCAGAGGGCGAGATCTGCCAGATGGAGATGGTGATGCAGAGCCAGGAGGCCGAGGCCACCGAGCAGCGGCGGCTGGCGCGCGAGCGCGCGCTCTGCCGTGAAGACGACTCGGGCGGTACCGAGACGCCCGGCCGGCGCGGCGGCGGCGGCGGCGGCGGCAGCGGCACCGAGGCCGAGCTAGCGTCGGCGGCTGACGAGCCGGCCGCCGTGCTTGACCGGCTGCGCCGCAACAAGTACTGGGCGACGGGCCTGGTGGCCGGCGGGCCGTCCGACCGCGAGCTGGTCGGCCTGCTGCTGGCGCGGCTCACGCAGCTTGAGGGCCAGCTGGCGCGCGCGCGCGACGCGCTGGCCGAGCGCGACCGGCTGGTTGACGAGCTGCGCGCCGCCGACGCCGCGGGCGGCGGCTCGCCGGCCGCGGCGCCGGCGGCCGGCGCGCGGAAGGCGGCCGCCGCCGGCTGCGGACCGGACGACCTTCGCCGCGAGTGCCGCCGCCTGCAGAAGCACGTGCGCGACATGGAGAAGTTCCTGGCCGACTACGGGCTGGAGTGGGTCGGCTCGGGCGCCAGCAGCGACGACCTGACGACGGCGCGCTCGCATACCGACGCCGACGTCGGCGACGGCGACAAGCCGGACCGCTCGCTGCCGGCGGCGTCGCCGCGGGACGCGTTCGCCGTCAACTTCGACCTGCTGGCGGCGCGCGTGGCCGAGCTGAACGTGCTGGCTGGCGCCGACCAGCAGCAGCTGTGCCGCACGCCGCGCGGCGCGCGCTTCATGCTGGTGCCGCCGCTGCCGCTGGCCGTGTACCGCAACGGCATCGTGCTGGAGGCGGGCCCGTTCCGGCCGTACTCGGACCCGCTGGCGCAGCTGCTGGTGATGGACCTGCAGGACGGGTACTTCCCGACCGAGCTGAAGGAGCGCTTCCCCGACGGCGTGCCGCTGCGGCTCACGGACCGGCGCCACGAGGAGTACCGGCCGCCGGAGCCGGCGCGCGTCTTCTCGGGGCCCGGCTACCGGCTGGGCGGCCGCCGGCGCTCCTCGCGCTTGATTGCCGAACACTACTGCCGCCGGCAGCGCGAGCAGCAGCTGCAGCAGCAGCGGCGTCGGCGCGTCGGCTCGCCGGAGCCGCTGCCGCCGCCACCGCCGGCGGCGGCGGCCAAGGCCTGCAAGGCAGCGGCTGGGGCGGCGGCGGTGGCGGCGGCGAGGCGCACGCCCGGCAGCTCCGGCTACCTGTCGGCCGGCAGCGGCTGCGACCGCGGCACGTCGCCGCCGCCACCGCGCCGGTCGGCCTCGCCGAAGGCGCGTCCCGGCGCGCCGCTGCCGGCGCCGATGCTGGCGCCGCTGCCGTCGCCGCTGCCGGCGCCCTCGCAGGCCGTGTCGCGTTTCCTAGCCGCGCCTGCCCAAGACGGTGGTGCGCGACGGCAGGCTGATTTGAAATCCGCCGCTCTGTCGAGGAGTTGCTAACTGGCCGCGCGTCCTCGCCGCCGCCGCCGCCACCGCAACCGCCGCAGGCGACGGCCGTCGGGGAGTCGGCCCCGGCGTCACCTGCGGCTCAGCCTCCTCCCGCTCTCCCTCCGCCGCCGCCGCCGCCTCCGCCTCCGCCGCCACCTCCGCCGCCGCCGCGGCCGACCACGGTGCGCGTGCGAACGCCGCAGGACGCGTGCCTGACGCTGGACCTGGACGCGTCGAACACGGTGGCCGAGCTGCGCCGCCGGATCGAGGCCAGTGGCCGGGCGCCGCAGGAGCCGTACGGCCTGATGACGCCTATCCGCGCCGCATGCTCTGGGACACGGCCTGCACGCTGCACGAGTGCGGCCTCTCACCCAACGGCGTGGTGGTGATGACGCGGCAAAGCAGCATGTGAGCGGCGGCGGGTGGCGAGGAGGCCGCGCGGCCGGGACGGTTACCGCGGCCGGCGGCGGCAGGAGCCGGGTGCGGCTCCGCCCGTCAGACGGCAAACGCCTACTGGTGTTTTGGCGGAGCCCGGACGGTCGGCAGTGGTACAGCCCCGTGGAAGGAGGGGGGATAAGTGGTCGGTGGCAACCACCGAGGCCGTGCGACCCCAACTGAGCAGAAGTCTTCCTGACAAGAGCACGCGCCCGCCGGCTGTGAGGCGGCAGCCCCGTGGCTGTCCGCCCAGTAGCGCGAGGCGAGCATCGATTGATATTTCAGGCCTACAAATAAGAACACCCGAGAAAAACTGGGAAAGATTCGTCTCCCGTGGAGTGTCTGTGAAGACATCGTGCGGGGTTGAGGCCGGAGCTGGCGAGGATGGGAGTGCTGATATCCAGCTCGCGAACACGGCCCGATCGTCGGTTAGTCAGCTGCGCTGTCGTCACGTGGCCGTCGACGGACTATAGCTACCAGTGATGCACAGATACACTCTCCTTCGGCGGTGCAAATACGCTCTGCCAGTGAGAGGACCTTCGTCGGTGTGAGGTTTTAAGTTTTCGTTTATCGTTCGTCGTTGCGGGCTTGTCTTTACCCGTGTTGTTAAATACAGACCTGCACTCATAAGCTGTGTATCATTTCGTGATATTTGGTATTGCTGTGCTTCATTGTTTCATTGTATTTGACTTCTTAGTGTTGCATAGCTTAGAATGCAGACATACCCTTCCCGTTGGATGCCTGCGGCGACGGCCGTTGTGTGCCCGAAAACCACTCGGAACAAACCGCTGTGAACTGGCTTTCGCTGGTGCTACGTTAATTTGGTGTTGAAACTTAAGTAGGGTTTAATTCTAGGTTTTTAGGGAACTAGGTTTTAAAAACGTCGTCAAACGTTTGCTATGCTTTCCTCCGCTCGAGACAACATGTGTTCGGAATAGGGTCCTCCCGGTTTCAAAAACGTTTCAAACGTTCGCTGTGCTCTCCTCCGCTCGAGACAACACATGCTCGGAAATGATGCCCGACATTCAGCTGTGTCCTGGCACGAAGTGTCTACTCAGTAAACGTGTCTGAACGACTGTATTACGATGCCGTGAACTATGACTCAGCCATGAACCCTGCACGTTACGGACGCTGTGTACCATGAACCATCGGGGCCGTTAGTGTCCAGGCGCCAGGTAATGACGCCGTGGCATGCGGCCGCGGCCGCGGTGTTCCGTTGCAAGGTGACCTCGAGCGGTCTGACGTCATACATGAGCGTCCATGAGGAACTTGCTTGTTGGGTTTTCAGAGGCTTCGTTCGGTCACTGTCCCCTTCTGCTAGGCTGAATGGAGATGAGAAAGTATAAGCACGGTCCACTCCCCCACAGTCTGGATAGCGCCCGCCGTATATGTGCCACGTGCAGTTCTCTTCCGGATGTGACCCGACCTTTCTGGCCGGACACTGCCAGTCTGTACCGAGTCTGACCTTCATGACCAAAGCTGCAGATGTGCTTTACCTAATCCGCCGCATTGAGAATCCTTCCTTAACCTTAAAATTTCAAAACTTTCTTCCTTGACCTGACGTGCCACGCCTGCCCACAACCCTCCGTCTGCACCTGCCCCGGCCTGCCCACACCCTCCGTCTGCACCCGCCCCGGCCTGCCCACACCTTCCGTCTGCACCCGCCCCGGCCTGCCCACACCTTCCGTCTGCACCCGCTTCGGCCTGCGCACACCTGCCGTCTGCACCTGCCTCGGCCTGCCCACAACCCTCCGTCTGCACCTGCCCCGGCCTGCCCACACCTTCCGTCTGCACCCGCCCCGGCCTGCCCACACCTTCCGTCTGCACCCGCCCGGCCTGCGCACACCTTCCGCCTGCACCTGCCCCGGCCCTGCCCACACCTTCCGTCTGCACCTGCCCCAGCCTGCCCGCACCCGTCTGCAACCTGCCCCGGCCTGCCCACACCTTCCGTCTGCACTTGCCCCGGCCTGCCCGCACCCTCCGTCTGCACCTGCCCCGGCCTGCCCACACCTTCCATCTGTACCCGCCCCGGCCTGTCCCGGTGTGAGTCTGCTGACATGACGCGGCTCCCTGCCCGAACAGGTCTGTACCTGACCGGCCAGGACATCCTCAGCTGCGGCTTCTCGGGCGGCCTTACGGCGGCGTGCTGGCCCGCCAGCGTCGTGCTGGGCCGCAACTGCTTCTCCGGACGTCGAGACGCTGCACAAGCAGCTCAAAGAAGGCGGCGTAGGCGGCGACGGCGGCCGGCCCCGCGGCTCCCTCCCGGAGCAGTCCTGGCGGCGGCGGTGGAAGGCGTCACGAGTCCTGGCGGCTGGCGGAGGACCCGGTCCCGTCAGTCCTGCCGGTTGGCGGGGACCGGTCCCGTCAGTCTTGTCGGCTGGCGGGGACCGGTCCCGTTAGTCTTGTCGGCTGGCCGGGGACCGGTCCCGCCGTCCCGGCGGTTAGCGGGGACCGGTCCCGTCAGTCTTGTCGGCTGGCGGGGACCGGTCCCGTTAGTCTTGTCGGCTGGCCGGGGACCGGTCCCGTCAGTCCCGGCGGTTGGCGGGGGACCGGTCCCGTCAGTCTTGCCGGCTGGCCGGGGACCGGTCCCGTCACCCCTGCCGGCTGGCGGGGACCGGTCCCGTCAGGTCTGCCGGCTGGCGGGGACCGGTCCCGTCACTCCTGCCGGCTGGCGGGGACCGGTCCCGTCAGTTCAGCCGGCTGGCGAGGACCGGTCCCGTCAGTTCAGCCGGCTGGCGGGGACCGGTCCCGTCAGTTCAGGCCGGCTGGCGAGGACCGGTTCCCGTCAGTTCAGCCGGCTGGCGCCTGACATTTGGGGCATTGAAAGGCGGAAGAGGACGACTCCTGTATCTGAGCCTCAGGAGCCCGCGCTGCGGAAGGTTGGGAAGCGCAGGAACGTCTCAGGCTGTTTCATCCAGCCGTGGTGTTTGGGACTGTTCATGCGAGATGACCGCATGAGCGGTGTAGGTAGGGTGTAGCGTTTTGCGATCCGGTGATAGCTTGCTGACGTGGAGCGTGATGCGAAGGGGTCCGAATCGCGCAGAGGAATGGGTGTCCCGTGAGATCTGTTACTGCGTCTGGTAGCTACCGTGCTCAAGATGAAGGTGCGAGTCGGTGTCTAAGGACGCATCAAAGCGCTGATGAAACTGTTCCATTGTGGCGGGGAGATGATATCCGTTGTCATGTTTTTTCTTCTGTGAACTCTTGCGTTGAACATCTGCGTATTTGGCCCCTCGACTTTGAAATCCCTTACACTTTATATACCTCTTACCACCTGTGCCCAGACAAAATATCTAGCTACGGATTTTTTCGTTGCGTCAGGGGGGAATGGTTACAAGTAATGTAGCCTGTGCAAACAAGGACTGCTAGTATTTATGTACTGCTATTGATTGCGGTGAAGGAAGGTGACTAAACGGCGAAGGCTGCGGTGCGTTCGCTGTCTTTGGAGCACTTATATAGCCCATGAGATTTACACTTGGAGGGTAGGTGGTGTGATCTTACGTGCATGAGCAGGTATTAGTCTGTTGAGAAGACCTTGTTAATTCCCTGCCCGGATCGGAGGTGGAGCCCTGCACGCCAACACGTGGTAACTAATTACGCTGGGCTGTACTCGGTTCCGGCACGAGCTCGTGTCATACGTGCGTGTCTCCAGCGGAATCGTCCCGCTTGTTGCACAGCACACCGACTCCTCACCCTTGGCGCCAGTCGACGCTGCTACGATGCTGCCGAAATATACGTATCAGCCGCGGACCTCTCTGTGAGAGCCCTATGACAGGGATTCCTCTCCCTCTCGAAGTCCTCGACTCCGAAGCAGCGCAGAGGAAGTTGGGCCCATGAAATGTCGCTCTCGGGATATTGGGACAAGATCGTCAAGCGGACCAACGTAACCGTGGAGAGACAACATCGAGGTCAACAACATCATGGTTACCAGCTTCCTCATCAAGATCGCCACGATCATTACACGCTCACGTAGGGCGAATCCGTGCCCGACATAGCGGACTGAAGCGGGTCCTGTCTGGTCCAGAGCAGACCTCAGCGGGTCCCGTCTAATCCAGAGTAGACCAGAGCGGATCCCGTCTGATCCAGAGCAGACCAGAGCGGGTCTCGTCTGGTCCAGAGCAGACCGGAGCGGGTCCCGTCTGATCCAGAGCAGACCAGAGCGGGTCCCGTCTGATCCAGAGCAGACCGGAGCGGGTCCCGTCTGATCCAGAGCAGACCAGAGCAGGTCCCGTCTGGCCTGATCCCGCTGGCTGGGACGCCATCGCCGGCCCTGTTCCGGTGAGCCGAGCCGCCGGCACGACCGTGAAATCTGACGGCCGCATTGTTCGCCGGAGGATCCGGGAGGCAGCGCCCCCGGCGGCGGAGAGGCCGGCGACAGGACCCTGGCGGCGGGCGGCCGCGGCAGCGCCGGCGAACGCGGCTGCGCGGGTCGTCGCCTCCCGCCGATCGGTTAGCGGGGCTTAGTCTGGAGCAGGCGGCCGAGTCTGGGGGCAGCTGACCCGCGCCGTGTCGGGCCGAGCACGCAGGCCTCGTCCGAGCCGCCTGAGTCGACTGCTGACCGTAGTCGGGGACGTCGGTCCGGGCTTTTCGAGAGTCTGGTCTGAGTCGAGAGTCGGCTCGGGCTGCTCGGGAGTCGGGTCTGAGTTGGGAGTCGGTTCCGTCGGCTCCGTTGGAGGGCGCCTGACTCTCGAGGTCGACCAGCGCGGAGTCGGGGAGTCGGCCTCCGGGGCGGGGCCCGTGACCTGGCCAGGGTTCGCCGCTGTTTGTCCGGTTTCGGACGGCCTGAGACGATGGCCGGTCTCCTCTGCCGTCTGCTTCTGCTCCAGCTGCTGCTGGCTCCGACGCTGGCCTTCAACATCACCGGTGAGAGGCGGACCGGTGCCGGGCGACTCTGCCTGCTGTGCTGATGACAGGCAGCGTTCGACGCTCGTCTTCCTGTACAGAGGCAATGTGATGCTATGCCACATAATAGGCCACACGGGCCTTTTAGGCCACAAGGCCACAAGGCCAATGAGGCCAAAGGACCCCTCTACGTGTCAATGTTTGTTTACTGGAAGTGTGTAGCTTGTTCAGAACGTTTTAATTGGTTTTGCTGCGAAGTAGTTGAAACGTTGCTGTCAAAAACCACGGCTTTAATGTCAGTGGATGCGCGTGCCATGCCCTGGCGTGTGCGTGTTGTCTTGTGGCCGTTTTCCACTGGACAGATAGTGTTTATTACAGTGTGACTCGATTTTGAGCCCCGGTGATCTACGGTTGGCTTTGAAGCGGTTTCTGGTTGACAAACTTTATGGTGATATCTGACGAGTCTCGTCTTACTACAGAGAGCCTACCGCTTGCAAACTTCGCAACTTAATTAAGCATTTCTAAACGCTTAGTCACTTGACGTTATTTACATGCTGACGCCTCGCCTTACACAACAAGCTGATGTAGGTCCTTGGTCGCGTACCTATAAGCATGCTAGAAGCAATGCATCATGGTGTTGCGATGCATCTCTCCAATCGCTTAAGTTCAAGGAGTGCAATCAAGATGTCGGTGATTGGCGTACGTGTTGCTGGTATCCGTAACTTACATGTACCACGGTATTACTCCCAAGCCAGCCATGACTGAGCCATTACAAATTCAGTGGACAGGTATGAGGTCCCTCACTCCCTCTTTAATCCAGTCACGAACTTCCACTGAACGCAAGCCTGCCGTGACTGAGCACTTGCGACTCCAGTGGACTGGTTTTGAGATCCCTCACTTACTCTCTAATCCAATCACGAACTACCACGGAACCTAAGCCTGTCGTGCTGAGCCCCTACGACTCTAGTGGGCAGGTTTGGGTTCCCTCACTCACTCTCTAATCCAGTCACAAACTTCCACTGAACGCAAGCCTGCCGTGGCTGAGCCTTGCGGATCCAGTGGACAGGTCTGAGCTCCCTCACTCACTCTCTAATCAAGTCACAAACTTCCACTGAACGCATTCCTCTGCATTGCACCGTACCACATCCACCTCCATGGGGTCGTCCTTACCACCGTTGTTGTCCGGTCCTGTATCTAAGGTTCGCATTTCACGGCTAATGGCACATAACCATTGCAACATGGCGTCTTCCACGTGTTCTCGCCCCGCGTTGGACGTGTCACGTGCGCGCACTTTCCGATGGGAGCCAAGGGAGCCAGGGTCACAGCGTCAGAGAACAGGCCAGCTTTCAACATCTCGGAGAGGCTGCAAATGGGCTGGCGGTAAACTTGCCAGCATTACCTTTTGAATGTTTCATTTTTCTTTTGTTGGCGTCTTAGTTAATTGGCACTCAGTGCCCCGGGCTCCGTTTAAGGTGGTGAGACCAGGGGCGGGGTAACACCCTCTAGAGATGCAAAGTTTCCTGTAGGCCCTCTTCCCTTGAGACTGACCCTCGCATCGGAGGACTCCACGGAGGAGTCCAACCGCCCTGATTTTCGAGCCTCTCGCCAGTGGAGACCGTGCTGAAAGCCGACGCGCAGGGACAGATCGCCAGTCAGGAGTACTGGGACAAGTTCCGCGCCTTCATGGAGCTGCTGAGCAAGGCGGACGCTGCCAACCGCACTAAGCTGCTGGTAAGAGTGAGCTGGCGCGTGCCGGCCTGCCGACGGTGTCTACCGAGCGTGATCCACGTGGACGTGCCCTGTCCCAGATACTCGGGACACTCGGACCTGGGAACGATCGTGCCTAAAGCGGTTTTCATAATCGGGAATATGCCAAGCAGTGGGGGTGTTACTGCCAACAATGGAGACAAAAAGTCAAATTTTGTGAGCATGTTGTTTGGCCCCAATCGCTGCAAGGATGGGATCAGACAGCGCAGCTCACCCAAGCCCTCCTGGCTGTGCGTTCGATCCGACGTCCGTGCAAGAGCTGTGGCGTCACCACAGTTGTGACGTCACAACAACCGTGACGCCACCACTGCTCGCCTCGCCACGAAGTGCCGTGGACCGCGGACGAGAGTTCAGGCGGCGCCTACAGGCGAAGTTTGTGCTCTGTAGTCAGCCACTCGCCGCACGAGCCGTGCCCCGGCGGTGCCGTAGAGGGAGCTGTAGCCGACGCTGTTCCGGTGTCCAGTGCCCGTCGCATTGCCGATATCTCACGGTTGACACCAGCCGATGCTGGGAGGCGTCACCAAAAGCGAGAAGAGTCACCAAAAAAAAACCGGAAGCGTCGCCAAAAGCGGGGAGCGTCGCCAAAAGCGGGAGGCGTCGCCAAAAGCGGGGGGCGTCACCAAGAGCGGGAAGCGTCGCCAAAAGCCTGCACCTTGCCGCGCCTCGCCAAGCGTGCGAAACGCGAGCTGTTGTCGCTACGCACTAAGCCCGCGAGCGAGGTGAACATGTGGATCTTGCCTGTGGCGTCGGACAAACGCCGACGCGCGGATCTGGGATCGCTCTTCCCACAGGGATCCGAACCTGCGCCTTCCGGTGTTGCGCGCGGCGACAGGACAGCGGTCTTTCCCATACCGGTCGGACTGTTTCCTGAATGAGTGCCCGTGGACTTGAGATGGCTGGATACGACAGGTTTTGAGCGTGCTGCCAAGTCGTCCTTTATGCGATAGGTTTGTCTGACGCTGTTCGTGTAGGCGTGTGTTTGAATGTTTTTATCCCTCATCACTTTCCGTTGCTTTTAGGATTGCTGTTTTAGTTCTCTGACAAATGGCATGGTACTAGTCATGTATTTGTTTGGAGTCCTGGAGTCTTCGAGAATGTGCCTATGCGGGAACCGGGATATCTGGATGGAAACTGTTCAGTTGTGCTGACCAAGGGAATGGCTAACCTGAGTTCGGATGACTCGAACTGAGGTAAAGAATCATGGAGTCCCGCGTTCTGTACTTAAGCGAGTCAATTTGAGCAGTTGAACTGGACTCGAGCTCGAGCTCATCAGTTTGACGACTACCGAACTCGGACTTCGACTCGGACACTAGGACTCGAGTTCAGATTCTAGGATCATGAGACTTGGACCAAACTCTGATTTGTAATCATGTCTCACCTAATTTAACCATAGGTGAATCTAAGCCAACTTGCGAACTAGCGCAGTACGACAATCCTGGACAAGAACTCTTCGGCCTTTGGCAAACGCATGAGCTACAACAGTCTCTCCACGTCTTCCACTGCCGCCAGAGCATCCCACACATCCACGAGTTCCTGGTGCCTCCGCAACTGCTCTCGGCCGTCGCCGAGCACCTCTCCAACTCCACCTGGCTCTCGAAGCTGGGGGCCGAGTACCACGAGCGCGGCGGGCACGCCATGGCGCCCCTCATCGACGTGCTCACCAACCTGGGGAAGACGTCTGTCCTGCATGAGGTGAGCAACAGATCCCAAGCTCACCGACCTGGAGAAGACGTCTGTCCTGCACAAGGTAAGCACCAGATCTCCGCAGGACATCAACCTGCTCACCAACCTGGGGAAAGATGTCTGTCCTGCATGAGGTGAGCACCAGATCTCCGCAGGTCATCAACCTGATCACCCACCCTAGGGAAGCCGTCTTCCCTGCATCAGATGAGCACCAAATCCCTGCAGGACATGTTGGCAGGCTTGTAGCGCACGGCTGTGTCGCGGAAGGCACTGGAAACGCTTGGTGTGACGTCAGCGTGCCAATGTGACGTCATATGGCTCAGTGCGACGTCAGTCGTCCTCTGCGTGACGTCAGCAGGGCTCGAGTCGTGACGACAGTCAGGCTCGGGTTACGCGCCCCCTGAACTGTACTTTAAGCCGTTCCGTCTCGCAGCGCACTTAAGTCTGTCTCGATACCTCGCTTGGCTAGAGCGGCTGCCTCCCGATCCACCCATCCGGGGCTGGATGGGTTCGAGTCGCTTTGGGCGCTCACTTTTTGCTCTTGACCGAAATTGCCTGCTCCCGGCGACAGCGATTGCGCGAAAGGTCAGGTGACGTCAGAGGGCGGACGTATCGTTGTCGAGCATTGCGACACGCGAAATTTTTCGCCACTATTTCGCCTTTGGCCTGACATTGCACAGTCGGATGGTAACTGATCAGTTTTTCACGCAACGAACAGTGCTTAGCGTGAGCTCAGATTTTAGAAATCCATTGTTTCCAATGGTTTGGATCATGTATTTAAACATGCTATGACGACGGTCGACTCAAGTGTAACGCCAGTTGGCTCCCGTGGTGACGTCCAGTTGGCTTCTGCTTTGACGACAGTCGTGCCAGTTATGGCAACAGCTGTGATTACTGTGGCGTCAGTCGTGTTCATTGCAATGGCGTCAAACACCAGAGTTCAATGACGTCAAACACCAGTTGCGCTCGTTGTGAGCTGTGGAGACACTCGTTCTCTTGACGTGTCGATTCCAAAGAAACGCGTGGGAGGAAAACTACTGCGGTTGTCATGAAGCGTCACTTGCGCTCGCCGTAACATCGGTCGTAGCCTACAGACGATCGCGCTGCACGACACGCCGCACGTCTGGTGTGACGTCAGTCGCCTCATTACAACGCCATCCATGTGTAGCGTAGTCACTCTCAGTATGACGTCATTCGTGTGTGACGTCAGTCGCTCCTGTTATGATGTCATTCGTGCTTGGAGGGACACCAAGCAGCGCAACACGTGATGTCTCTTGACGTGCGGAGAGCCTGACTCGTGAAGTCACATGGCGGAGCCGTGGACATGCGACGTCAGCCCTGTCCTACAGGTCACAATCCCGCGTGACGTGCTGGAGAAGCTGATGTGGCGGCGCTGGTGCGCCGCGAGCAGCAGGGTGCCCTCCGCAGCTGGGTCGGCCGCGCCGTCAGCACTTTCTTCAACAGCTCCGAGGCCCTGCGCATGCAGCGCGCGACTCCAGCCTCTTCGCCGACTACATCCACAGTCTTTTCGAACTTCGACTGGATCCCACTGAAGGAGTTGTTGATGGTGAGTGTGATGGTTTCCGCTGCGGACCGGGTCACTAAGACCACTGGAGATATTCCTGGATGCTGGCCGTAAACCCTGGGATACATTCCTAGATCTCTCCGCAGAACCCCCGCGAGAAATCCCTAGATCCCTCCGCAGAACCCTTGAGACATTCCTAAATCCCTTCGCAGAACCCGGGACATATTCCTAGATCCCGCCGGAGAACCCCGGGAGAAATCCTAGATCCCTCCGCAAACACCGGGAGACATTCCTAGATCCCTCCGCAAAACACCCGGGAGACATTCCTAGATCCCGCCGCATAACCGGGAGACATTCCTAGATCCCTCTGCAGGACCCCGGGAAATAATGAGCACCACACCACAGCGGAGGGCCACTGAGCACAACGGTGACTCGACATTCAATGCGAGCTGTCACGGTAGAATTGATGAGAAATCCCACGTCCAGATCCAGAAAAGAGAGGGCGCATTGCCGGGCTTAATGTCTCGAATTCACCCCAGAACTGAATCTACTGGCGGGTCATGTGCCGTACTGTCTTTGTCCGCGTCTGTCTGTGTCTTTGCCTGGCTCCTCATGCACGCCTGCAGAGCACCCGCGCTGCCCTATGATATACTTGATTCATGTAATACGCTTGTATGGCGTCTGGGCTGCCCACGCGCACCCCAGCGCTGCCGCAGGAGACACCTTGGCGCTGTGCCGGAGATGCTTCCCACCAGTGACAGACTTCTCCCGTGCCCGCCCTTCAACGCGCTACCGCCACATCCACGGACTCTTCCGTCCGTGCCAACCGTCCGGGCCTCGACTCCGTGCCACCGTCCGGGTGCTCCCGCCCCGGACACGCTGCAGCATCACAGACCGGCTCTGACCCACGCCTCGGGCGCTCCCGCCCTGCGGGACACGCTGCAGCATCACAGACCGGCTCTGACCCACGCCTCGGGCGCTCCCGCCCCGCAGGACACGCTGCAGCATCACAGACCGGCTCTGACCCACGCCTTGGGGCGCTCCCCGCCCCGCAGGGACACGCTGCAGCATCACAGACCGTCTCTGACCCACGCCTCGGGCGCTCCCGCCCCGCAGGACACGCTTCGGCATCACAGACCGGCTCTGACCCACGCCTCGGGCGCTCCCGCCCCGCAGGACACGCTGCAGCATCACAGACCGGCTCTGACCCACGCCTCGGGCGCTCCCGCCCCGCAAGGACACGCTTCGGCATCACAGACCGGCTTGACCCACGCCTCGGGCGCTCCCGCCCCGCAGGACACGCTTCAGCATCACAGACCGGCTCTGACCCACGCCTCGGGCGCTCCCGCCCCGCAGGACACGCTGCAGCACCACAGTCTGCGTGCCAAGGTGGCGGCGGAGATGGAGAAGGCGCGGAGGGGGCGGGAAGGAGGCGGAGCCACGCTCGTCGATGAGGACGACCCCCGAAGCGCGACCCCGTCCTGCCCGAATGGGACGGCGTCGAGGACAGGGACGTGCGGATCGACGCCTGGTTCGGAGCTGGGATTGCCATCGGCCTGAAGCCGCTGCCGGTGGAGGACGACGTCGCGGAGAAGGGGGAAGAGCAAAAGGCGCGGGAGAGAAGGAGGAGAAGCGGAAGGACGGGGAGGATGAGAACGAAAAGAAAAAGGGGCAGAGACGAGGGAGAGAAGAAGCAGAAGGACGAATCGAAGTCCCCCGACGCAGTTCATCCGAAGGTGGAGGGTCAGAAGCAGGAGGCGACAGCTGCGCCAGAGACGTCGGCAAAGACGCACGACGGGTCGAGAGGGCTTGAGAAGGGAGGAAGCGTCCAAACAAAAGGGCCGTAGGAGGAAGGAAGCCCAAAACATGTAGAGACTGGAGAAGGAGGAGGAGGAAAGAAATCCAGATAGGTGGAGTTCTCTTTCTCCCTCTGTAGAGTAAGATTGGAACTCAGGATGGGTGGGGGGCAAAGGAGGATGGCCAGCAAAAACACATGCTAATCAAAGATGGGATCCACACCCGTCGTAGGCTACACCCCCCTGCCATCAGGTTTGGATTCTGCCACAAGCAGTCTCTCACTTAAGCTCGAGCCATTCCCTTACCCGAGCTGTCCAGGGGTTGTGGGCAGGGCAGGTCGTCTAATCAGATCAGGGCAGGTCATCTAATCAGATCAGGCAGGTCATCTAATCAGATCAGGAAGGTCATCTAATCAGATCAAGCAGGTCATCTAATCAGATCAGGCAGGTCATCTAATCAGACCAGGTAGGTCATCTACTCGGACCAGACAGGACATATAATCAGATAAGGCGGGTCATCTACTCAGATCAGGCAGGGCATCCAATGGCCGGAGCAGCCGCATCCCGGCTTCAAGTTGGTGGGATCAGGTGGAGACACAGCGGCAGGGCGCGTTCGCATCAGATTTGTTAGAGGATGTGGACTTTATCTGTGCACCTCGCCCAGAACGTGTGGGCGTAGTTATAAGTGGTGTATAATGCTTGATTTGCACTGGAGGGAGTGTGGGAGAGGGCGCGAAGTTCTCGCAAACAGTCGCTAACCCTTAGCCTTAACTGGTTGACAATGACGCACCGACGGCCGTTGTGACCTTGTTTTGACTGCTGCGTGACTTCTGTAGTTTTTCTATATCATCTTGTATTGTTAGATTAGCTGATCTCTCTAAGGTGTAAATAATGCGTCATACTTTGTTTGCGCTCCCTGCTTTTGCTCACTACTTTAACCACTTCGGCACACTACCACAAGGTTGAAAAAGAAACCCAGATTATAATGAAAGCCTGTAATGTGTAGCTGATTTGTCCGACTACTGAGAACAATAGCCACCGATAGAAAATAAAGCACGTGGTACCTTATGTCACAATATGACAAATATCACACAGCGGCCTAGTGAAAGGGCCGCCAGCTATAGGTTTGTACCTTGCCACCTCGTGATAGCTGGGGACTGCCCCAGGCCTGCGCACCTCTGACTGTACCCCTGAACGCTCACAGCACCCGCTGAGTCCCGTGTGTGGTTCAGAAGCCTTATCATCTTCCGTCCGTGCATTGTTGGAGTCCCCGGCTCGAGCCGGCGCGCCGTGGGACTCGCGGTCCGAGCCGGCGTCCGACAGCCGCGGGTCCGCCGGGGCCTGCCCGGGTCCCTGCGGGTCTACCAGGGACCGTCCGGGGTCCGTAAGGGGCCCACGCGGGCACCGCCCAGCCGACAGCGGCGAGGGCGAGAAGCTGAACTGCGGGTTGGCCGTTGTGGAGTGATGTGGTTCTGTTGCGGGGGACGACGAGTCTGGAAATTTTGCCGGGAAGTGTCGAGGCAAGACGATCAGTCACGACGCTAGAATCCTGGTTAGTCCTGACGCCGGGGTCCTGATCGGTCCCGACGTCGGGATCCTGATCAGTCCTGACTCCGGGATCCTGATCAGTCCTGCCACCGGTATCCTGAACAGTCCTGACGCCGGGATCCTGGTCAGTCATGACACCGGGACCCTGCTCCTGAACGTCTGACATCCATCGGCGGCGGCTCTTGACATCAGGTCAGGAGGCAACGCCTGGCATGAGCCCTGGCCCCGAAGCGCTGAAGCTTGCAAGCATCGCAACCTGGTGCCAGAAGCATCAAAAGATGCTGAAAAGGTGCATCGCGCTGAAGCGCACTATGCTACAGCTGGTGGTGAACTGGCTAAGCGCCCGAGACATCATGGCTGTACGCTGTCACGTGTTTAATATTCCAGTCGATCGCTAGAACCCCCGGCTACCGTCCGAGCGTCGCCTCATGGGACCTCACACATGTGGCCAGTAGTGAATACACGAGTTTACGACATGGCCCCGTCTGTGACGAACACGAGATGATTGGAGTTTGAGCCAGCAGGATCTCACGCAGCTGACGTCCATTCGGGTGCCTCCATGTGACGTTATGAGAGGGATAAGCACGTTCGTGTGACCTCAGAGCGGGGGGTGGCTTCTCGGTGACGTCAGAGCCCAAGTAACAGTTCGTTCAGTGCAGGAAGCTGTACTAGAGTAAATGCATGAACTGGAAATTAGTGCAGATCAAGGGGAATATGCTACAATTGTTGCGTTTGGTGTCCTGTAGTCATCTCCCGCACGTTCTATGAAGGTATGTTCGTTTGGGAACGAAGACGAATGCATATCTACGATATGATTGGACAGAACCTTCAGCTTGAGCCGAAAATTTATACGAATGTAATCGGTAGCCAGCCACCCCGCTCAGCTAGCTGTCCCAGTTTCTTCCGTCTCGCATGACAGCCGTGTCATTCATTGCGAAAAGAAGACCACCCCCCGAGTTCTCGAGTCAATTGTGCATGCTTCTCGGCGATATCCGGGTCGAACACGGACGTAGGGATGTAAACAACAGGATGTGTTCACAGCGTGACAGCTAATGTGTGCGCAGGATGGAACATAATCATATACAACTGCATTGTGAGCAGAATAAATGCCCCGTCAACGCCTCAACGAGGGTCATAAATCAGGTAATCTTTCACGCTGTCGTCACAGAAATACAGCCCATTGGAATCCGTCCCAGACCTGGTCTTTTTTTAGTCGGATCAGACACGGGGCGAGTCAGCTGGAATCGATTCCGCTGAAGCGGTATTAAACACAAGTATGAACATCTGTTAGTGCCCGAGTATTGTATTTGTTGGTTGCACTGGCAAGCACACTCATGACTCACGAAGCTCACGAAACGCTATCACTTTGGAATCCTTTTTGTGACCATCGCCGACGAGTAAGTGGATGCTTGGCGAGACACGCAGTGGCTACGGTGCCCTACGCTGGCACACTTAAGAGCGTCAACACCAAGGGAAAATCAAGATTTCCCTTATCACAACTTACGATATATATTTAGCGTGAAGCCCGTCTGAACTTCTCCCCACGGAAGACAACAGATCAACACATCCCCTTCACCGAAGCAGAGCCTTTTGATTTCCAGTGCGCTTACTTACACGGGCACTTCTCGAACCATTTCTGCAAATGCTTCGAAAAAAAACTGTGGTCTACCCTCCCTGTGGCCCCATCTGTGAAAACCCTTCCACGCACTTCCCGGGAGACCGCCGCTCAAAATGGGTTACCGGGCACTCGTCGCTCGGATCGTGACATGAAAATGTAACGCCCCGTTGCCAGGTGGAGCAGGGTGTACATTATAAGCTAGAACACTGTTTTGTATAGCTCAAGGGTCAAAATCAGCGAGCGTCACGAGACTAAAACATGCATATATCAAGGCAGATCTCAGATCATTTCTCTACACACTCATATCAATGCACTTGGACGACTTTTTCTTGGCCGATCTAAAAACATTTGATTTTGTCATCACCTACGGCATGGCAATTCAACAACGAAATATCAGTCACACTAAAACCTGCAGATACCAAAGCCCTGCAGACGGCTTCAGCTAAGGCACTTCGCTTTGAGAGAAACACTCCATTCGATACATACTTTTGACGTACTAAAACCCTAAACATTCCCCTCACAGGCTTTTCGTACCCAAGTAACGGGTACGATTGACTAACGACGCCGTTCCTGCTGAGGCCGTCAGCATCATGAATCGCCTCGCACGCTCCCACATCACGCTCACACTCCCACATCACCCGCTCACACTCCCACATCACCTGCTTACACTCCCAAATCCCCCGCCCACACACTCCCACATCAACTGCCCCACACACCCTACATAACCCATCCGCACACATGCATCACCACGCAGTTGATCCCCTCGGCTGCCGCCCGGCCAGGCGCGGTCACTAAGCGGTTGATCCTCCCTCGGCCGTCGCCCGACCCGGCGCGGTCACCACGCAGCTGATCCCCCTTGGCCGTCGCCCGGCCCGGCGCGGTCACCACACAGTTGATCGCCCTCGACCGTCGCCCCGGCCCAGCGCAGTCACTACGCAGTTGATCCCCCTCGGCCGTCGCCCGACCCGGCGCCGGCCGCATCAGACTAGGACGGACAGCGCCGGCAGACCCCAGACCAGCGTCTTCCACATGGTGGCCAGCCAGCCGCCGCTGGCGCACATGGTGGTCAGATCACAGCCGTCCACCACGTCCCGGTACTGGCTGACGAGCCGCTCCAGGGGGCACAGCTGCCCCGGGCAGCCGGGCAGCCGGGTGGGGTGCTCCTGCACGTACGCCGACACGTGGTAGCCGTCGCCGCACTCGAACAGCACCAGCGCTACGTTCGAGGCGAAGGCCGAGAGATAGGAGGAGCTGGCGGACGGGCGGGACGGAGTCAGCGACCGAGCACGCTTGGTGGAAGTCACTTACACAGAAGGAGGGCTTAAGACCAACAGGCGTCATATCCAAACATCACGGGACAGAAATCGTAGGGCTTGTTTGTTCACGAAGACAATGGGCTACACAGAACATAACGCCGGAACTGGGACGGGCAGTTCACATCCGAGAGCTGTAACTGGTGGATCGAAAGTGCGAGCGTTGCTTCTGGGATGGCTCTCATGTTCTCACTCCTTTCAATGCCCCGAGGCGGATTTGGTTTGCTTCTGCACGGAGCTTGTTTTAATATCCCCAATGGTGGAGATGCAACGGAACCACGTCCTGAGACGGAGAGCGTGGCGACTCAGCCACATTCAGCGAGCCAACACTTACTCTCGGGGGTGCGCCGCTCGCAACGCTTTCACGGGGAGTAGCACTGCTTACTGAAGGTGAATGGTGGAGTGAGATGTTTTTATCGGCTTTACTCCGCCCATACATGCAAAGCGCTAAATGTCATAGATGAGTCGCGTTTTGCCCGACACGGCAGGTCAAAAGCAAAAGAAGTTACCGAATGGCCGATTAAAAGCACACGGGACTCGGAGCTAACGCCATTTTTATAGCTGTGCTACCGGATACCAAGAATGACACTGGCAGAGGGGTCATTCTATCTTCCGACGCTGCGAAAGATTTAGCGACCCGCGGGGCTGGCGACGTTTGAGCCATCCAATCGTCGCCTCAGGGCAGGTGGCTGACGGTCGCCGTGCTGTCCCGGTCAGCCGGGACCCCCGATCGCCATGCTGTCCCGGCCAGCTGGGACCCCGGTCGCCGTGCTGTACCGGCCAGCTGGGGACCCCGGTCGCCGTGCTGTCCGGCCAGCTGGGACCCCCGGTCGCCATGCTGTCACGACCAGCTGGGACCCCGGTCGCCAATACTGTCCCCGCCAGCTAGGACCCCGGTCGCCATGCTGTCCCGGCCAGCTGGGACCCCGGTCGCCGTGTGTGTCCCGGCCAGCTGGGACCCCCGGTCGCCATGCTGTCACGGCTAGCTGGGACCCCGGTCGCCATACTGTCCCCGCCAGCTAGGACCCCGGTCGCCATGCTGTCCCGGCCAGCTGGGACCCCGGTCGCCATGCTGTCCCGGCCAGCCAGCCGGCGGCGCCGCTTCAGAGCGGCTCTCACCTGAAGGCGCGCGCGGTGCCGAAGTCGCCGCTGCGCAGCGGGCGCGACTCGTGAAGATGCCGAGCCGGGTGATGAACTTGAGCACGCCGCCCAGGTGGGAGAAGTAGAGGTGCGCCAGCGGCTGCCGCTCGGGGCTGGAGCCGACCGCACTGCGCATGCGCGGGCATGACGTCATAGAAAGCCCACCAGAGCGCAGTGGCAGCATCAGGCCTTGACCCACATCACGGACAGTCCTGGCCCGCTGGCCGCATCTGAGCAGTGCTTTGACGCCGGTTCACGACACGTTGAGAGTGGGTATGACAGCAAACGTTCGCGAACAAGGATCTTGTCAAGTGGAGAACATAGAACACTACACGCTAACCGCACTGCAACGCAATGCACTGACCTGAACTTATCGATGAAGTCCTTCACCTTGGGACAGGCCTGTTCGTAATTGAGACGATTGCCGTAGCTGTCCACCCAGTAGTACTCGAGGTCGTTGTCAAACTCGAACACCTGCCGCGTCACGTGGCGACTGTCAATGGCATGAGGGGTAGCGCCACAGCACGGACCCGCTGCCTGCTGCAGCATTGGCCCGCCGTCCAACACAGCAACACCGCTAACACCTGGCTAGCCGTTGGAAGGAGTAAGTTTCAAATGATGCTCCGCGGTGGTGATCCAACGTGGCTACACCACGTCTTCATCTCCTATCAGCGTTTCGCCACTTTACACGCTGCACAAACAGGCACGATTACACTGGCCATGGACCGTCGCCATGCATGAACCCACCATGCAATAATCGCCGGTGAAGCTACAGTTCTCGTGAGCGGCGTGAAACCAACTTTTTAACTCGGCCGCCGAGTTCTATATCCGCGCATGCGCGGGCGCTGCGCGCACCAGTATCTTGACAATCGATTGGTCACGCCCGGCCGCACGTGCTGGGGACCCACAGAGGGCGCCCTGCCTGCGGCGCCGGTCACACGGCTCCCCTACGGGGGCTCCCACGGGGGGCATCTCCACTGCTCCTCCCCGGCTGTCGGTGTCGTGGGATTATCGCCCAACTAACTATGACAACTCACGCGGTGTAAAGACAGGCGGCATTTCAGGCTGGAAGTGTGCAGTCGTGAAATGAGTCCTCGTTTCCCAGCACATGCCACGAAACGCACACGTGCGGTGTGGTCGCCACACAGCGCCCCCAACCCAAATTTTCGATCTGATTCCCACCAATCCTCCACCAGAGAAGCCCATGGCGCCCACTCCCGCGGTCCAGCCTGCTGCAGGGGCCGTCGTACCTTCATGTCCAGCTCGGTGAAGACGGCGCACCAGGGCGACACCCGGTCCGGGAAGGCGCTCTTGTCGTACCGGCAGATGTCGTACATCAGCCGCACGTCCGCTGCCGCACACACACACACACACGTCACGTGATGTCACCTCCACGGACCGGCGAAGTTATCCTCAAGACATGCGGGAACTGGGACCATCACCGGATCGGAGGGATACGACGCTCATGCAACGCCAGTGTCAGTTGCCCAGTGCATTCGCGAGGAGCATTATTCACATAGATAAGGCAGTAGTAATAGTCTTCTCCTCGGAGAAGAATCAGGATAATGGAGAAACAGATTGGTTGCTATTTCAGTAGCATGTCTTTATCGAAACAATAGCAGAAGTGATTTTGTATTTACCTCAGCAATTGTTTCGATACAGGTATGTTGCTGAAATATTACCCAATCTATTTCTACATTCTTCTGTTTTTTCTCCGAGGAATAAGCCTAACACTACTGTGTTATCAACGCCAATGTGTCTGGCCCGACCGGCAATGGCCATCTGATGCGATCCGATTACATCGGATCTGGATCCAGATCCGAGGCAATAACACCGCAGGTCACTCAGCAAAGGCGCCAGGTTACCGTGGCCCGTGGTCAGGTCACGGTGCGCCCCTGGGTCATGCTGTCACGTCACACTGCTGCGGCAGGTCCTTAGGTCAGAGCAGGTTGCTGGTTCATCCCGCTCAGGCGGGATAATGCGCCGGGTCTTCAGGTCAGGTCAGGTCAGGTCAGAGGGTCAGGTCACCGGGCCGGACCACGGAGCTCTGGACAGCGAAAGCCTCGCCGTCATTTAGAGTACACGCTGTGGAAAAACACCGCCAAAAAATTTCGGCTGAAGGGTCTGTCAAAACGACACAAACTGTGTTCACCTGGGCCACAATCACACCACACCAGCCAACACGTAATGCGACCAAATTCCTCATAAAAACTACGACAGCCTACGACAGCCTGCGACTGCCCGCGCACCATCCTCTGACGTAGTCATCCACTAACGTCACCCACCGTAGGACATGTTGCCGACGAATCCGAGTCGGTCGGACACGCCGGAGATGGTGCTGAGCATGTGGGACGAGTTCTGGAACGCGTAGCGTTCGCGGCGCGAGTCCTCACTGTCGTCGATCAGCTCCCGCCACTTGTCGCAGGTCTTGTAGAACTGGCGGCGCACAGACCGGGCTCACACCCCTGGCGGCGCGGCGGCGTCCCGCTCGCGGAACATCGCGTCACGCGCGAAATGGCTTAGGCCGTCGGCGTATCCCTAAGCCTCAATCATCATCCTCATGCTACAGATGGTGATTGCGGGAAAGTTTAGTCAGTTGTCTACCATTAGGACCAAGTAACTAATGGCCGGCGAAGGGTTTTTCAAGAGGACGCAACAGGCATCGTCACGCCCTTTTTATACAGCGACAGCGACTGCAACGATCGTATCAGCGCCCGGGCGCCGTGCTGCGACTGGGACTCGAACCCAGGTCCTTACATGGGAGTCGATGGCGCTGACCACTCGGCCATCACACCCACTGACAGCAGGAAGGCGGGGCAGGCTGTAGCCTAACTCGCGCCAGCCGGACTCGCCAATGCCACCGCACGAGCTCACACGTAAAACAGTCCGAGACGTGACCCGGCACTGCGCCTAGTCCGACCGGTGGCGTCCCGTGACCCGACCTGACCCCGCCCGGGCTGACCTGCAGCAGCGGGTCGTTCGTCTTCGGCTTGGGGAAGATGACCGGCTGGTCGCCGAACAGGCCGCGTGCGAACCAGCGGCCGCTCTGCATCGCCCGCTGCTTGGTGGTCGTCAGGAACTGCCGACACGACACCGGCTCGGTCACCACGCTGCAGCGCGCGCCCGCGCACGCGCGATCGGCGGGGTCAACACTAGCGTCATACGGCTGGTGGGGAAGTGTGACGACACAGTGGTAAACAGCCGGTTATTGCTGTGCTCGCAGTGAGGCGCGTGCCTGACCCCTAGTGAACTCCGGGTGACCTGAGGTGATCCCCGGCGACCTCCGTCGATAAACTGTGACCTCCGGTGACTTGTGATGACCCCCGGTGACCTCAAATGACCGATGGTGTCCTCCACTGACCTTGTGCTTGTCGGGGTCGTAGGGCGCCCCGAGCAGCGTGGGGAAGCGCTTCTGGAAGCGCTTCGCCATGTGGAACAGCTCGTGCTCGCCCGACTCGGTCAGCTGGTTCTCCATGCTGCGGTCGAACGCCTGGTGCCACTCGCGGATGTTGTCCAGGTCCAGGGCGCACAGCTTACCTGCGCGGGGGGAGGGCGGACGGTGGGGTGGCGGAGAGGCGCTCACACGCACGCACGCACGCACGCACACACGCACGCACGGACGCACACAAACCTGGGCGAACACGGGGGACGCTTGGAACGTGTGCAACGGCGCGCACACGAGCGGCGCGCACGCACGCACGCACGCACATACGCACGCACGCACGGACGCACACACGCACGCATACGTACGCACGTACGCGTTCACACCCACATGAAGTGTGTTAATTTGTCTGAAATGTGAGCCGATAGAAAACGAGCCGCTGCGATCGCAGTGCAGCATGAAAACAGATTGCATGTCCCGAAAAGGAGCGAGAGGAAGCACGCGAAGCGACGAGAGGTTCCTCGTTGCAGCGGTACTTAAGCCGCGAACTGACGCGTGACGACATCTAAACGGATGCAACAAATAACGGCAGAGTCGTCGGAGAGCTGGGGTGTCACTTTCCCACTGTTTTACCATGTTTCTTTCAAATTTTATTAACCCGCATGGATTGCGCGCTCCGGTGGCGTTATGGACTACATCAATCTAATCGAGCAACAAGTGAAAGAACGTGAAAGAAGAATGTGAAGAGAGAAACAGATAACAAATGTAAAATTTAAATAAACTGACTGCGGCCGGCGGCGTAGTTGCGGAGGATGTGTTGCTGCAGCAGCGGCAGCCGGCGGTCCATGTGGATGATGTCGTCGTCTCCCGGGTAGCGCGTGCCGTGGCGGGCCGTCAGCCAGAACTGAGCCGGCCGACACCCTACGGGCAGGGGTGAGGGAGCGTCAGTGAACAGGCCGACACCCTGCGGGCACGGGGTGAGGGGGCGTCAGTGAACTGACCGACGCCCTGCGGGCAGGGGTGAGGGGGCGTCAGTGCACTGACCGACACCTTATGGGCAGGGGTGAGGGGGCGTCAGTGAGCAGGCCGACACCCTACGGGCAGGGGTGGGGGCATCAGTGAACTGACCGGCACACTGCGGGCAGGAGTGAGGGGGTGTCAGTGAACAGGCCGACACCCTACGGACAGGAGTGAGGGGGCGTCAGTGAGCAGGCCGACATCCTACGGGCAGGGGTGAGGGGTCGTCAGTGAACAGGCCAAAACCCTACAGGCAGGGGTGGGGGGGGGGGGCGTCAGTGAACTGACCGGCACACTGCGGGCAGGGGTGAGGAGGGCGTCAGTGCACTGACCGACACCCGTACGGGCACGGCCAGACACTGTGGTGAGAAGTGATGAGGAGAAGTGATGCTGGTGACAGGCGCCAACACGACACACAAACACAAAACAAATCGCCATCAGCACGGGGTCGTAGCACCCTTAAACACACCCACAACCTTCAAAGGGAGCGGCGTCCCACCCACTCGCCGGAGTCCCCGCCCGCGACAGGCGTCAAGTGACTTCTCAGCACTGCACCGCTAAACTCGGCCACCTCATCCCATCACCGCTCGATAGCCGCGGGCGCTTTCCCCTGCCGCGTGACATCAACGATGTGACACAGGGGGCGGGGGAGGGAACATTCCTCCGCCCACCACAAATGGGCCGCTGCTCCCACGTGCAGCCATGCGGCGCGTTGTCAGCAGCGGCGTCACGGGAACCGCGCTGGTCATCATCGCGGTGGTGCATGTAGCGTGCAGGCATTTGCGAGCGGTAAGAAGTTATTGATTTGGGCCAAGATAATTGTTTATTAATGGAACGATTTTTAAAAAATGTGCTGCACGCGAGCGTAGACACCGGCATGCATAGCAGTGTGTCGATTGTGCCCCATTGCTGAGAATCGAATACCCAATACCGAACCATCTATGCGTGCAGCGTCAAAATGCATGATGCCTAACACGTGCCATACAAATACCATCCCCACCGGTTGTTTGTCCGCACAAGTTCTCTCTATTCAAAGTTGTTGGCACCACACCGTCACGTAAACCGTGGCCATGTAAAGTCGAAAATACCAGGGAATACGGACCGCTCAGTACCTGAGCTAGGGTAGCGAGCGATATGGAAGGGTATGATGTCGAACAGAACAGAACGGCCTTCTTCCTCCACTGGTGACGACTTTATATAGCAATTTCCATTTCTGGCTGCCAAAACAGGCCCACTTCTTCAACCGTGGTGGCAAGCTGTACACAAAACAGAACGTGCTGTTCAGTTCAGTGCTGTTCAGTTACGTATTCATCGCTTGTCGGGTCCTGAGACTGAAGACGAGATGAAAGAAAGCCGGAGTACGTGTACCTTTCATCTTCGCGATGTACGGCACCTGACCAGCACAATCCCTAGGCTGCTGATCACAGTTAATGTGTCGGTTTCCAGATCAGGAGATCCGGGGTTCGATTCCTGCCACTGGAAACTATCCACACAATTAATCGCCCGGCTTACACCGAGGGGTGACCAGTGTTTTTATATTATATATATATATATTTTATTGCATTATGTAAAAACTACATATATATATATATATATATATATATATATATATATATAATATATAAATTACTCATGACAACATAAAAGCATCCACAAGCAAGCACTCTGTGTCGCTCACCTGGGAACACCTCCTCACTGTCGTTGTTGTTCTGGACCACATAGTACGGCGTCTTGGTGGCGAGGTGGTCGTAGGGTTCCGGCACCTCGGCGTAGCACTGCTCGTGGGCGCCTGCCTGAGCTGTGACGCAGGCATGGTACAGCAGCGCCGCCACCGCCACCCCCAGCAGCCCCATCAGTGGCGACTGCGGCAGAGGGGAGAAGCGCGCCCTTAGCCAGCGCTGCCACGGCCACCCCCAGCAGCCCCATCAGCGGCGACTGCGGCAGAGGGGAGGAGCGCGCCCTCAGCCAGCGCCGCCACGACCACCCCCAGCAGCCCCATCAGTGGCGACTGCGGCAGAGGGGAGGAGCACGCCTTCAGCCAGCGCCGCCACGACCACCCCCAGCAGCCCCATCAGCGGCGACTGCGGCAGAGGGGAGGAGCGCGCCCTTAGCCAGCGCCACCATGGCCACCGACAGCAGACCTATCAGTGGCGACTGCAGTCTGGGGCCATCCCCTGCAGCCCAGCCAGCAGTGGTGAGGGCGGGCCAGCGAAACGCCTCCTGAACTACTGCTGCCAGTCACACTCCATCTGGCCCACCAGCGGTGGCTGTGGCAGAGCCTAGGAGCCACTGCTCTCTTTTTCCATTTGTAAAACCCTGTTCAAATGCAATGTCATACTGCATCCCTGCCAATATCAACAAACTAACAAACAATGGACAGTGCCAGAGTCCATAGCAGTTGACACTAACTTTGCAGGCTGCAAACTATGTCATGTTGTCACCCTTAGCAGAATGCTTAGCCAGCAAGCACAACATGACATAGATGTGTGCAAGCCTGTATTTTTGGTCCAAACTTCCATTTGGGTTGTCATGGAGACAGTTAGATTGTAGCTGCCCATCAACCATGCACAAATATAAATATCTCTGAGGCTCGCACCTTGTTTTTATAACTTGAAACATACTTCCATGATGAAAATGTCTTGAATTCCTGGTGTTTAGATACACTGCATGTATATGGTGTGACCCACATCTAGCATGACCACCTCATAAATCAGACACAAACTAGCAAAAATGTATCACCAAGCTTTGTTACAAGTCCTGAGTTCTTATGCTAACTTATCAAACTTAAATGCACCAGGAAGTATTGGTTAAATAATGTGGTGCCAAGTGGTGAAAGTTAAATGGTGAAAAAATAGACTAATGGTGCCACTGCTATGAGAAGCAAAAGCTTCAAGTCTCAAAGTCACCTAATAACATATTTATATTGTGTCACAAGGCTATTAAATTGGGTCATTTTTCTCTGTTCTATTGAATAATTTAGCATATTTCACATTACATCTTATTCATTATATATAAAACCTTGTTTGGGTTGCTCACATAATAACTTTACCATCATATCTATGAATTTCACATTATCTTACAAATACAAGGAATACCACACAAAATGTTAGATACCAAAAGCTCCCATATGAACAGGACCTGTTTTCTATGCAGCTCAAATGCACTGGAAAGCTGTGGTGGTGATCATGGTACCACAAATAATGTGGTGGTGGTGTATGGTGCTGGTCTCACCTGGTTAAATACATCATTCTAATTTAATTATTGCTAAACACTTCCCAAAAATGGAATAAGATGGTAAAGGCAGGAGAGGTCACACAATTGTACAAAGATTTGGAGCTCACATTTTACAGTGTGGCCAGTTGGTGCAAAATTTGAACACAGCTGTACTACTAATAAACTAACTTACCTATCATTTTAGCAAAACACCTCATCAGGCCATCAAGGAATGATACAAAGCCCCACGTTTTATGTAAATCCCGAAGAGGTGCCTTAATTTTGCAACTCATCACTGCTGCCACTTTTAATTCCTAACACATAGATACTGACTTTTCCATGTTACAGCCAATCTCAATCTTCTCCAAATTGGGCCATTTTATGGTGGGGCATGGCTTGGTTGGCCTTCCTTTGGATTTAACCCTATAATTCCATCCAAACCTCATCATTATTTTGGTGGTTCAGAAAACAGTACGTGCAGCAAATTTTTATCAGATCTAGAGGGTACCAATACACTGCACCCTAAGTAAGCTATTATACCAGATGAATTTTACCCATGGGAATCGGCGACAGAGATAAGTTTACCTAAGCGGCCACCGCTTCCAGCCAGCGCCTCACCTTATTGGCCAGGTGTACACAGAGGTTTTGTATAACACGTCGCGTCAAATAATACAAGCAGAACGCGGAACAGACAATCCTGCACACAACCGTAAACAAACGAAGAAAATATATTTTACAGCGGTTTCTGGCCCTAGTCTATATGTTAGGATACTGTCCCATCGATAATAATAAACCGTGCACAAATGTATTTAAGATGTGTTTTAGTATTGCCCTAGTTGATAGATTCGTTTAAAATAGTCATGTTTGCGAAGAAAAGAGGCTTTCTAAATTCCACGGTCACAACAATTCGCGGAACGATTGTTACCGTGGACGAACTGCGGTCTACGCGGCGGCATTTGTCGCGACAGTGGACTTTGATGCGGTTTCGCCACCTTCATCACTTTTACCCTCGCATTAATGTTTCGTTGGTGAACGGGGGCGTGGTTTTGCAAAATGGGTTGGGATGAAGGTGGGGGTCTGGGTACTGACAAATGACAACCAACCCTCAAAATGCGCCAAGAAACGAATTTTTCCTCGGATTTGTTCTATTTCCTTCTTAAATTTGGGCGAAGCCAAGTTGAGGGGGGGGGGGGGGCTGGAACCCAGCAACCTGAAAAGGAAACTACCATTTTTGAGGAATTAAACGACGACCAGGTAAAACTCCCACACGCTCCTGTTCCACTGTGGGCAAAACGTGTGAGTGAACGCTTGAAAGGTCTTACATTCTGTCAGGTGAGTGACAACTTCTGAGACGACAGTGTTCTGAACGTTTTACGCTTATAAGATAGACCAGACCGAGACAAATCCCACAAGTACAGCGTAGTGTCAAATACACCCCCAGATTCTTTGCAGTATCTTTAATATGCGTTCGCCTCAGTCTAACTTTTCATCTAACCGGAAAATCTCCGAAAGTCATTTGGCCCGTGGCGGAACACAGGATCGTGCAGAAGTAAAATCTGGTTGACCCACTGTATCTAATTTGTTCAACCCAAGAGGACGAGCGGCGCATTGTCGATAGGTTATGCGCATCTAGCCGGGCGCCGTGAGCCTTGGGGGCTGAACTGTGAAGCATGTTGGTCTTGTAATGCCAGTGACTCTCTGGCTGCAGACCAGTCGACGACTTACGTCGTTGCTTCGCCTAGCAATCTTGGCATTTGCTAAGCTCAACATGAATGGTCTCGAAAGCGTGACTGTTTAAGGGCGGAACGGCACTGTGACTGACTAGTATCACTTCGATTCAAACTGTCCAAGATAGGCTCCTAACCCAGCAGCCTATCTTCGACAGTTTGGATCGAAGTGATACTGGGCTCTTTGCCATCAAGGGCGAGGTCGAAGGCCGAGCTCGTACCTTCAGCGGCTCTGTATGACCAGCCTAGTGGGATATCTGCATGCACAGCGCGGGCAGTTTTGTTGTGCAATGGTGCAATGTTTCTGAAGGTTTGCGGCTATATTCAAATCGTGTTTGCACGGTTGTTCAAGCCCTATTTTCCGTCGACGTCATCCAAATCTTACCCATCCCGCTCGACGATTATGGGATATGCAAGATTAACAAATCGCAAAAGTGTCCGCTAACATGCGCTGCGCGTCATGCGTGCTTGGCGCAAACCAGAAGCCTCCCAGTTTTGTGGCGTGGCGGACTGATTACATATATCGATAACCAGACAAGATAACGGCGTGAAGTCGACTGCATGATGCGGGTGACTGTGCCGTCTCCAAAACACCGAGTCATCGCATCACCGTTCCGGCCGCCAGCGAGGTCAGTAATCGGTCAGGTTGTGACTAATTTCGCATTTTTGGGATAGATATCACCCGCGGGGCTCAGATATCTCCCGCGGGGCCTGGGCACCATGTGCGTCGCACCAGACATCTATTGAATCATGTAAATTGCGAAAAAGGATACGGGCACCAGCGTGTGAGATCAACACCCAGAAAGAGCAAAACGGCTCATTTTGTACGATGCACCTCAGGAAATCAGCCATGCCAGAGGCTCAAAGACAGCGAAATGCACGCGAAGTCCATCTGCCTGTTTCTGGTGTCAGACACGTTCGAGAGATATCTCGAGCTGACTACAGCCCGTCCTCACCTCCATGCTGGCGGCTGTCGTCCTCTGCCCCCGGCGGCTCCACCACGCTGGCGGTCGCGCCTCCTGTACCGTGCCACTCCACGCAGACCACGGCGGTGGGTGTGCCGGCCGGCCGCGCCCGCACCAACGAACCGGAATTAGGACGAATGAAGCCGCAATTGTGATGACGCCCGCCGGGCCGCCACGGACGACCGCCCGGCCGGGATGAATGGGAAACCCGACCTTCCTGTCGGGGGAATACGAGAGGGGGCTGGCGCGGGAGCAGCCGGGCCACATAACCGGTTTAGTTGCAGGAAAGTGATGAGTCTTTGACATGCATGCCGTAAAGTGACGTAAGGGGACTGGTGGGCGGAGGTGCTATGCCGCCCCCACAGTCCACGGGTGTGAATCGGCCGGTGGTGCTCGTAGCCAGAAGGAGACGTTCAAAATTACGTCACGCATCGTTGGACATTTTCAACCCCCCTTCCCTTCGTTACGCACTGGTTACGCTGAGCGAAATCGCTCCCACCTCATGGGTACACTATGTTTAGCATACCATCACGGAAATATAACGTCGGTCTGGCCCTTTTTCGAGCTAGAGGTGCGGAACAAGGGTGCATGTCTCGTTCGTGATTGGAGGGAACTAACGACATCAGGCTTTAAAGTGTAACCACATTTGGTGCAGATGAAATTTCGATGCTGTTAACCTAACACTTCACATATCCGGCAGTCATCCTTTTTGTTACATCGTATTCATCATTGTTAAATCTACGGAAGCTGTTCAGTGCATTAGCGAGGAACATTATTCACATAGATAAGACAGTAGTATTGGCCTTATTCCTCGGAAAAAAACGGGAGAATGGAGATATAATTTGGTTGATGTTTTGGCCACATGCCCTTATCGAAGCAAAAGCAGAAAAAACTATATTTTCATTTTCCTGGTCTTTCTGAGGAATAAGGCTAATACTACTGCCTTATCTGCCGTTAAATCTATATTCGGTTGTCCCGTCGCTTCTCTGCCAGCCTTATTTATAGCACTTGAGCTGCTCCTGAGTGTCGCCTCAGCTGCCTGTCTCCGTCACGGGATGCCCGTGGTCACGTGACCGGGTACTCCCGAAAAATACACGTTGCTCTACATTTACCTGCGTCCACGTGTCAAGCGTTTGTTTTTTGTTCATGTCTGGTCACATATCTTGCCTTGTTGATTCTTACGTTGCAAACAAGATTGCAAGCCGGATGCAAGCAAGTCGTGGGGCATTGGGAAGGTGTGGGCGAGAATCAGGTTGTAGAGCATAACTTAGTTGTTATGGGTTTTAAGGGCGCGTCAAATGCACGAACAGCTCAATTTACATCACACTGTGAATTCTGCCATGTGAAATGATACCTGTGGTGACGTCACGAACCGAGAGTGGTGGCGCAGCACAATCACAGTTTGGCGCAACGTTCTCACTCCGGTAGGTTTGCGAAAAGACGGGTCGTATGACGTCATGAAGGGAATGAGACCGCGCAGCCCAACCATAGTTTGGTGCAGTGTTTTCACCCCGGTAGATTGTAAGAAGACAGGTCGTATGACGTCACCGGTGATCTCTAAAGGCGAGCTAAGCTGAGCTGACCTAACGGCCTGTCCGTCTCTGTGGGCTCCAGAGTAGCGCGCGAACGGGACCGACTTCCGCTACCAGCTGACACGTTCTCGCACAGAAGCCTCCGACTTTGAAGTTCGGCCCATTGGCTTAAACATGCGGCGGGGGCACGCTCTTCAGCACGCGCGGACTTTGCTGCAAGTGGGTCTGACGGCCTCTGCATTCGTGCATTCGTGTTCGTTCAGTGCTCAAGACTTGCTTCCTTGCTTTTGGTGATGCTATCCTCCCCATCATCATCCCTGCATAACCCAGCGCGACTTTCCCGGTCGGAACACGCAACAGTCTATCCTGTCTTCAGATCCCTCCGATCGATCCAACCGTTCGTATCGGGCGGTACCCACCATGCTACGATTTGCCAAGGCGCTGGGATGAGTCGTTCAGCCACAGCTCTGTCACGCATTCTGATACGACCATTTCGTATCACCTTTCCAGCACGACTTCCGTCCGCGGTCACTGGTCGCCGCTGGTGACCGCGCTGGTAACCGCACCGGTGACCCGCGCTGGTGACCACATCGGTGACCGCGCTGGTGACCGCGCTGGTTGATCGCCGCCAAACACGTCCTTACGGTCACACGTCACGTCACACGTACACGTCCAAAGATATAGCGGTGTTTTTACCCCGGGAGGGCAACTTCTTTAGGAGGCCAGCGTTGCGCGATGCGCATTTTTTGTTGTTATATTTGTTATCATACTATATTTATCTATTTGCAGGTTGTCCCTCAGTGATTTGAGGTATTTCGCTACCTCAAGTTCCAACGGTGTTGATAATTTTAGGAGCATTTTGTGTGAGCTTTATGCAGCTTCCGTGTTGCTTTACGGAGGGATCGAGAAGAGATATCAACATCGCGGATGGACTATCTCGACTTGTTCGGTGATCGGTCTCGTCTGCTGTGTTAGTATGTAAGTACGCGGACACGCTGATAGGTGATAAAGACGATATAGCAAGGCCATTGGCCAATCCAACTGCAACGCTCGAAAGCACGTGACAGGCTGCACACTGGAACGGATCCCAGCACTATTGTAGTGGTGTGATAAGAATCATCGGCTTCGCATAAACCCGCAGTGGCATCACTACATATCCGCAGTTCGGGGGCACTCTGGTGCTAGCTTGCGACTTTGTACCAACTCGCAGTCGGCACCGTGGACTGTATGGCACCGTGGCATATGTTCCACATACGAAAACGGGGAGTTCTGCAGCGCTATGGACGCCTTTAATGATTGCTGTCAAGGTCTTGCGAACTGCACAAGTAGGCTGGGTGACTGAGCTTCATATGCGTGCCAATTTCATCGCCCCCGCTTGCTCAGTTCGGCGACAGCGTGCTGCATTCGAGGTTGTTTTCGGCAACAAAACATTGGTGACTTTGTGACTGACTTCAAACTGACTGACTTGTGACTGACAGACTTCATAACCTGTATGTTCAGCCGCCGTCGTACTGTGTGGGATGACTGAGTAATGTGGGGACGTTACATGCGCTTGCGGGGGGGGGGGGGGGGGACAATCGTGCTTGCGGCGTTATCTGGTTGTGTTGGCTAGGTCTGACATCAATCCTGTAGAACGCCTTCAAAATCTCAAGTCCTATTATTTGTGTAAGAGACTGATTTTGATTATTTGTGTGCTGTGGACTGATTATTTGTGTGCGTGGACTGTCGACATCGATTCGCCCTTTTCCTGGAGACCGCTGCCTTTTCTCTTCCGGATGGAATGTGACTTTTCTGACCGTTCCGGAACCTTTAATTGGCCATAATGTACTTCTACGGAAGCTGTAACTTTGTCGGATGACACCAAATGGCTCGTTGTGCACCGCCGCGTTCATATACCTTGTAACTTCGATGGACAATTCGTAGTGAGTCTGGTTTCGTCTCGTGTACGCTCGGGACAAACCCAGACTCATGGCTGCGAAGTCAGACTCATGACCGCGAACCCAGACTCATGGCTACGAGCCCAAACGCCTGGCTGCGAACCCGAACTCGCGGCTGCGAACTCAGACTCGTGGCTACGACCCCAAACTCGTGACTGCGAACCCAAACTGGTGGCTGCAAACTCACACTCATGGTTGCGAACCCAGACTCATGGCTGCGAACCCAGGCTCGTGGCTGCGAACTCAGACTAATGGTTGCGAACCCAGACTCGTGGCTGTGAATTCAGACTCATGGCTGTGAACTCCTGATGGCTGTGAACTCAGCCTCATGGCTGCGAACCCAGACTCATGGCTGCGAACCCAAACTGGTGGCTGCGAACCCAAACCCATGGCTGCGAACCCAGTCTCGTGGCTGAGAACTCAGACTCATGGCTGTGAACCTGGACTCATAGCTGCTTGCCAACAGCATGGATCTTTCGGGCTTCGGCCCGATGCCTGTTTTAGGCCTGGGATCGACCTTGTCAGAGCTTTTGCCAATGGTAAATATTTATGGGGCACGATAATGTGCAGAATACGAGCGACACGAAGGTGATGCCCCCCCCCCCCCCCTCTCCCCGCACGTTCGAAGCCAGCTCCTGAAGTTGTCCTCATATTTGTTGACTCTTTCTGGTTACCTTGGGGGTCAGGTGGTGTTTGTAAGTACATACAAATGGGTCAAGGTATAACTTGGATGGCCGTCCATACATGACTTGATAACTATTTACGAAAGTTGGGCGTGTTGTTTGTCATAAGGGTAAGCCAGCGATATCGGTCGGTTTCAAAACGCTTCAAGAGGACTTAACATGATTTGTAACTGCACCTGAGCGTTGCGTTATGCATTCCATCCCTCTCCTCCTTGTTACTCTTCGGCTACATTCCATCAAAGCCCCTCTCCTCCTTCCATGCGTAACGTAAGCTATGCACGACCCCTTAGGTTAGCAGCGTTTCTTATTTTTGGCACGTGAGTAATTATCGAACACCGTAGATTTGACCAGATCTTTGACCTGTGCCGCACTGGACTGGCCACAGCCCTAATAAGTACTGACACTGAGCACGATGGGTCCTACGCACAAGGTGCCTATCGGCACGGAGAGCCGGCGGCCAGTGATCGCCCGCTTCAGGGTGAGCGCGACAGCGCTCCCCAGTGAGTCACGAGGCTGCTGCAGGACCCCCATTGAGGAATGACGTCGGTGAGAGCGCTTCCGCTCGCGGGCAGCTGTACAGTTGCTCTACATCCTGCTTCCACCGGACGTCAAGATGAGTCAGCAGTTTTTTTCGCCGTCCTCTGGAGGCGGGGGATGGCTGAGTCGTCTGAATTTGACTATGCGTGCACGGCTAACTGAATATACGTAGTTTATACCTGTTCAGTTCATACCTATTTTACCTGTGCGCTGTCTGAATCGGGGCGCAATGGCCATTGTTTCGAACAGAGAACCCCGCGACTGTCAATGCGCTCCGATGCGATGCGGATTGGCCTAGGACGTAAGGTATTCTTCAATACGCTAAAAACTCCTGACATGTTGCCATCA